AATTCGTAGTCATTTTTTATTTTGAGGTCTTCGATGCGAGTTGTTTGATTTTTGTATGGATCGATGGATAGATTATTTTCCCCCAATCGCCTATTCAGAGGGCCTGGTATCGAATTCCGGTGAGGCAAATGTTTGTATGATGTATACGAGCATTTTTACCAATATTATATCATGATAAATAACATTAAATTCATAAAGTTATCATTTGTAAGACCTGTGTTGTGACTATCTCACTGTACCTACCAGGGATTGCTCTCTTTCATTGCATCTAAAAACTAAAAGGAACTTAATGGGCTGCGCAAAAGAGGATTTTTTGTCTGCGGACTATTTTGTTCATCAAACAGTAGATCGCATACAAAAACTTTTATATGTGTACTACATATTCACATCTTAGAATAAAAAAGGGAATATATTTTTGTTTAAATTATCAGTTATGTTATATATAATTACTTAATCATATATAAATTAACTCATGGTTTGAACATTTTAAGCATTTGCATTGAAAAATAAAACATTTATTAATCGATTGTGTAGGAATCGATTCCTATAGAATCAAATCGAAATATATACCATAGTCAAGTGAAGTAGGTAGCTGTCAACTTGTTGTCAACGTGTTTGTTGTTTGTTCCGAGTGACTAACTACATAAGTACAGTTTTCAATTTTGAATTGAATTTGTGTTTTCAGTGGTCTATTGTGGCAGAATAGTTTTAATGTTGAGTTGAGTAATCCTCCGTTAATAACTGGTTTTTTGGGAAAGAGGGCATTGGACTCGTTGATTTAGTGTTAAGTTACCTTTAGTGATTCTGACAGAGATATTTGGACTCTTAGTTTATTGTAATTATTTTTGTTTACAATGGCATCTGGTGTTACACAAGAAAACGCAGGCAGTATGCAACGACGTTGTATTAACTGTTGTATATCAGTGCCACGACAGCCAGTACATTCTTTGGACATGCTATCCAAATCAATGCTTAATGTTTTAAGCTCATGGATCGCACCTGATTCTGTAAGTAATTATTTACATATATTACTAAAAATATATCGTTATACAATCGCAACCGTGAGATAATGTTTTAATTTCATTCACATGTTCAAATAAATATAAATATTTTTGACTTGTTATAGATATTGAATGGGGGCATAGTGTGCAACGAATGCTTTATGCTACTACAAGCTAGTGACACCACCGAAGAAGTACCTGCACCACAATATGGCCATCAACAAGTCTGTTTTGGTTGTGGAAAATCCATATTAAGAAGTCGATCGTACAGGGTTTCACTACACTGTCCAGAAAGAAATATTATTCTTAGATGGACTCCAGCACATCAGGTATGGTATAAGATATTATTATCAATAATAATTTATTTAAATTGATTTCAATACTAACTGAAACATGACTGACATTTTTTTTTACATTGCACAATTGTCATGTAGTATATTAATGAAATTGATTATATAATAACTAACTCAATCATGACTATGGTATATAAATAATATATATAGTTTTTTGAAGATTTGAGTTCTGGATAATACTGCAACTACCTATAAATATTTGCACGTCGATAAAAGCGACAGGTCATGTTGGTTATATTTTTGAGATCTGTATAATTTACCATATCTTGTCAGATAAATGATTTATTATTATTATTATAAGAAATATATTTCTATTGCATAAAATAGTTGTAGATGGTTTTTCATTAAATTCAAGTTCACTTAACTTTTTTTTATAGGTGTCAAGAATTTCAAGAGTTTGTGTTGCCTGTTGGCGAGCAGCTAATAGGGAAGTGCAAAGGCAACAGTTACATGATGCGAATCGGTTATGTTCCCACATGTTGTAGAATATGTCAAAAATCCCCGTTTAGCACTCTGTATTTACATAGTCAAGTTAAGAACTGGGGACAGCAATGAACGATTAAGTTCCCTCTTTCAAATGTCTCGTAGGACCTTGGAGAGAAAAATGAATATAGCTAGAAGTTGTTTAGTTGAAGATTTTGTGTCAAGACATTTGGGCTTTGGTCATGTAAATGTGGAGCAAGTGGCCAGCAGAAATAAAATAATCCCGGAGGGATTGTTTGGTAATCCAATCTTACCAAATGATATTAAACCCGCTATTGTTATGTGTGACGCAACTTATATATTTGTCCAGAGCAGCAGCAATTATCGTTTTCAAAAATAATCATATAGTTTACAAAAATCTGATAATTTAGTTAAACCTTTTATGGTTGTGTGTTGTGATGGATCTATTATAGATTGTATGGGTCCCTATAAAGCAACCACTAATGATGCTTCAATAACAAGGCATGATTTAAATAATGAAGAAGGAAAACTGCGTTCATTTTTCCGGCAGGATGATGTTTTTATTCTGGATAGGGGGTTTCGGGACGTAATTGAATTTATGGAGGATCTTGGTTTTAAAGCTTACATGCCTGAATCATTATTAGATGGTGAACATCAACTCACTACCCTTCAGGCTAACAAATCTAGATTTGTAACAATGTGTCGCTGGGTGGTTGAAATAGTAAATGGACGTATAAAACGAGATTTTAGATTGTTCAGGCATGTATTTAATAACAGAGCTGCAACTCATTTAAAAGATGATTTAAGAATTGCATGTGCTCTGTTAAATAGTTTCATCCCTTAATACAGGATCCTCCAGAAGCAAGCGAGTATGTAGCTATTGCTCAAAATCGGCTTAATGAGTCCAATCATTTGGCCGAGTTTGTAGAAACTCAAAATCTTGACAGAAGACGTGCAATGTTTTCTGCAATTGATGGCAATCATCCTCACTTGGAAACCTTTCCCAGTTTAAGCATCACTGATTTAAAACGCTTTGCATTAGGCACTTATCAGTTAAAGCAGGCGCGATCATATTATGGGGAACATATTCGATCGTCTGGGATATATTTCATAGAAATTAATACAGAAATAGATGAAGATGTTCCCCTTGTATTAGGTTTAAACAATTATCTGCTTAGAGGACGTATTAAGTCTAGACACGTTGGTGGATGCACCTATTTTGTTTACATTTTAGTCAGCCGTGACACCAATATAGCCAACTCACTAAGTTGTTTAGTTGGCTATTGCTGCAGTGGTATTGTAGGCAAAAGGACAGTAGGATGTTGCGCACATGTAATGACGGTAGTTTGGTACCTTAGCTGGGGGCGATTGAACGATACTCATGCTCCAGCTACATTTTTAGATGAGGTATTTGAAGAAGGTATATAAGTCAATTCTTTTTTAAAAAAAGGCAATATATAAACCAGGATTAGAGCACGCTTAATGTATAAACTGCTGTGTTAATTGAACTTAGCAGAGCTTTAACTGGATATTTCAAACTCAACAGGACATGGTGGCGAGTTACAAAAGATATTTTATGCGAAGTCACTACAGTTCCACTGGATACGGCATAACCCCAAAAATATAAAATAAAAATATCACATTAATAATGTCGATTTGGATAAATGTGTTATCAATAAATGATTATCATTATTAAAATATTTTGTCTTATTTATTTTTGATTCCTAAACCTTAATTAATATTATATCCATTGTTGGGTTAACAGAGCATCAAAGGTGCAGCTTGAGCGTAAAGAGAATAAGTATATTTATGCTATTTAGCACTAATATAACCGCACCTCAACAACGCCACATTTATTGAATCTGAGATGTTTGGAATAAATAGAGATAGATAGCAGCTCACCAACGCAACAGTTTACAAATATACGCTGCCCGTTGATAAGATTTTACGAAGTGCATTCAATTTTTGTTTCACTCCCAGTCCAAAATAGAAGACAAAGGGTCACAACCTAATTAAATACAGTTTAAAGTAGTATACCTAGTAATAATTAAGTATGGTATAAATATCGAATTTAATCGAACCTAAATATGACATAACCTTAAAATGCTTACGTAATTTAATATTTTCTTTAAACCACTACTTAAGTTTCTAATGATATTTTTCCTACGCAATATACACCTGATTCCCTATTGTTGTACACTTATTCCAATAAGACGCAATGAAAAAAACTTAGCCCAACTCCCAAAGTAAAATGACCATTCTCCTTTCGGATATTATGGTCATTGATCTCTTAAAATTCGGATATTATAGTAATCGATCTCTTAAAATTCAGATATCATAGTAATCGATTTTTTAAAACCCATCCCTATTATTCAATTTGTCAGAACTGTCAAACGGTACTTCTTAGATTTGATGGACTGTAGGAACGAATAAAAAATATTATCCGCCATCTTGGGTGTCCTGCCATCTTGGATTTAAAATGACGTCACACAATTATCTATGCATTGAAAACCAAACTGAACGTGCATAAAAAAATTCAACTAAATTAGTTAAAGATATCTGTTTCAAAATTGATATTTGAGTTTTAATTGTCTGCCATATTGGAATATGAGTGACGTCACATTATTTTTCGAGTTATTCTCAGCAAGCCCTTTAACTTGATACCCATATTGTAGGAATGCATTGAAATTTATTGGTCCGCCATTTTGGATATGACGACATGTTGGATTTAGAAAGACGTCAAACTGTTAATCATGCATTGTCATCCGAACTGAACGCGCATACCAAATTTCAGCTCAATCGGTTGAGGGCAAGTCCCTTAAAATTGAGTTGTAAGATACCACCCGAAAAAACATACATTGCAAGTTAAATAAAAGCTTGTAAAAAAGTTAATAATTTGACCTTCAGATGATTACATAGCTATTTATCTAAATAATATTTTTTTTAGGTTAAGTGAACCTTTCGCCCATTAACGTTGTGTACACAAAGTTGACGTCACACAGTAGACGTCATCGAACCGAGCGTTTTAGCGGTAAATTCAAAACCATTAAAAATAAATTCAACTTTAATTGGATTCATGGAGAAAATAAGACATTAATCAATTTACTTTTATTTTTCTGTTAAATCGTTTGTCCCAATCTTTAAATATAAGCAGTTCTCAAAATTTTGGAAAATACCCTATTGTTCAATCTATTATACCGACCTCTATTCTTCATCCTCTGCGGGACAACGTCCTGCTGATCCCTCAGCAGCGGATGGAAAAATGTGTACACAAGATCAGAGTGTGCGATCTCATCAGCCAAGTTGAAGAGTGAAGTTAGGAACGCTTGAACGTCGCTGAACCGCCGCTCGGCTACTATACGCGTATTTGATCGCCCCACGTGAAGTCCGGAAGGTAAACTGCAAAACAAGATTTACCTATAGACAGTTTTTTGGTGAATAAAAGCTTATTTCTATACTAAGTTTCTTGATAGACAAAATGTGAGCTGTAGTCAAATGGCTTGTGTCTCTTTATTCAGCTAAATGATAACGTTTACTTAAAAGTTTAAACCTATATGTAATAAGAAATCAAATGGATTATTTTTAAATTATTTACAGAAAAGTATTTGGTGGCACAGTTAATCAATACAACTGTAATTGATGGGTTAAATTATGAAATGGTTATTTTTTTGGGATCATATTAAATATATATGTTTGTAATCTTAAGAATCACTTTTTGAATTTGATTAGAAAGCGTTCATAGTTTGCTATTTACATTTGTGTTTCAGGATATAAGAAGTAAGCTATCTAGACACAGATATAAACATGGATAACATTCTATGATGGGTGAATCAACAAAACTTTATGGAAGGAAACGCGCCCTTGCCTTGCGTGATTAATTTAAACAGTTATGTTGGCTAGAGATAAGGGCGACGCATAAAACAAGTTTACTAAGTACTTATTAACACTATCTTATCTCACGTATTGAGTATTGATTCAAACATGAATGTTCGAAGACACTATGCGCGACGCGAATAAAAATCCTCGTGTTTCCTGCGAATATACACAATGGCTATAATAAGGGCTACATCGGAACGTAAGTACAATGTGCTTTAAAATAGAGTGTATATGCCATTACAAAAACAACTTTAAATAAAACAAGATAAGATTTTTATTTCAGTGAATCACTCAGTCAACTATTTGTCGACAATAGCACTGTTCGCTTGCGTGTCATGCCTGTTATTGTTGTTCAAGTTTGGAGGATTCAAGGCTTCCATAAACTTCATTGGCCGGAAGAAGGAAAATGAAAGTAATGATGAACCTCTGTCCCTCGCCGGGGCATACAGGATTAACAGAAGTGAATTTTTTGGTAAGTTGTTTGTAACCTTTTTTGACAAAAGTCCATTCATACATCATCAATATATAGTATTGACATTATTCAATATTTATTTCAGAAAATGACAGGGTATCAACGCCGAGAAATAATATAACACCATCTACGGTACAACTTCCACCGAGCGCCCAGCCCAGTACGCCACTTAGAGCCAACAAAAGCACCAGCGACCTCACGGCTAAAACCAATCCACCTATTAATTTAAGTAAAAGCATGCATGATGTATCACAAGACCCAAGAGGACAGAACGTTCCTAACAAAAATACTGCAGTGAACCAGAAAGTATTAGCTAAAGACAATAAGGAACAAATCAAACTAGAAAAGAAAAGATTGGCCGAAGAGAAAGCTAGAGAAAGAAATGCCGCAAAAGAACGAGAACGAGAGGAGAAATTAAGGAAGAAGAGAGAGAAGGAAGCAGCTCGGGAACAAGCGAAAGCTCAGAGGGAGAAGAAGAGGCGGCCAGCGCCGGCCATTCCTTCAGCAAATCCCATGTCTAGTGCAACGAATAGGCAGCTATCTTCAAATCGATCACCTAACCAAGTTCCTAGCAATAAACCAGGTGTTCAACCTCAAACGCCTAGTAATAATTTAAGTTCACAAGCACCGTACTCAAGTAATACATTGCAAAGTTCGATAAGCCGTAGTAGCGGCCCTCCTCCCTATTTAGAAGTCACCACGAATCAGGAATCTAGCACTAACGGAGGAAACGTGATATTCAGTAAGCCAATAGAGGAACCGACTAACAGTTGGGACTTAATATCGCAGCATAGACAACAAATGTCAAAACCGACGGGCCAGCCACAAACTAAAGGCCCGAAGAAGAATATGGTCATGGATCTACAGTACAAACTAGGAAATGAAAACAGTGAGGCGTAACAATTGAATCACTTTTAGCAATAGTAGTTAATGAAATTCAAAATGTGCAATATATCATCGTAAAATATTTAAGTGAGATTACAGTACCGGGTATGAAGATTAGCGATAAATTAGTGTTAATATTGTAGTGATAAGGAATTGTTATCGTTATTATATCGTAGGATTGATAAATTATTCAATATCCAAGTGTTTAATTTTTGTCAATTTATACAAATAGTAATTTGGTCGAGGTACATACACAATTAGGAACAACCTACGCTAAAATTAATAATTTAAGTATCAAAAAGCTAGCATAAATATATAATGAACATATCATATTGGGATAGGAAGACAGATATATAACTTTTAAACAAATAGCTGACGTCTGTGACTTCGTCAAAGCGCTCTTCAACATATTTGAAGTAGGAACTTCACTTGTTTCGAAGGTGCAATCTTAATATTATTTTCTTTCAAACATGAACATGATCAATTTAATCCAGCTCTTGCTCGATGTTTTTAAACAAACTTTTATCTATTAAAATATGCAATGCAATAAATATATAACTTGACAATTACAGACTTCATCCGAACATTATTTCTTAAAAAATATTAAAGAAAGCATTGATGCAAGTTTCCACAAAAATTTCCCGCTCACAAGGTGAACTTTAGCGAGCGGGAAGTGCAGGCATAATCTTCTCATACATTTTCGTGAAGTGTTTATGCTATAATTATAATACTCAACAATCTGATCATTATTTATTAAATAACTAGTGGGTGTCCAGGATTCCGCCTGCTATCACCCCCTTTTCACACTCATATAGGAGGATTTCGATTAGAATTTAGGATCACAACTATAACTATTATATTCTATGTCCTTTCCCGCTACTCAAACTATCTGGATAACACATTTCATCTAAATCAGTTGAACCATTTCAGCGTTAAGAGTTAACAGGGAGACAAAAAACTTTGGCATTTATATAATATTAGCTGTACCCCGCGGTTTATTAGGGATATTTTCCCGCAGTAAAACGTAGCCTATGTGTAAATCCAAGGTGTCAACTAACTCCGCACCAAATTTAATTAAAATCGCTCCAGTCGTTTAGAGGTGAATAAGTAACAAACATACACACTCACAAACTATCGCCTTTATAATATTAGCGTGATTAGTATGGATAAAAATTCTCGTTCTTTCAAATCTCACCTGTGAACTTTAGAGAGCGGGAAGTGCAGGCATATCTTCTGATACAGTTCCGTGAAGTGTTTGTACGAGCGATACAGAACTGAAGGCGTAGTTTGTCCTTGACGATATATACGTAAGGCGTACACGTAGTGCTTCTCCGGGTCGTAGCGCTTCTCGTAGCCGAGACATTCCACGCTGACGAGGCGGCCTTCTTGGGCCATGCTATGGGGCGAATTTATATATCAATACGTAACTCTGCCAGTATCTTCGGAATCTTGCCTAAAGAGACTTTTTTTATTAATATATTTTAGCTATTATATTATATTTAATGAGGTTTATAGTTTTAGGTTCATTTTTCTAGTATATATATATATATATATATGTTTACTTATTGTTTACTTAGGTTAAAATTGTATTTGTTACTTATGTTAGTTAATAAATAATGTACTTGAGCAATGTGAAAGAATATATGTTTACATTTTAATTGTAAGATACAAATAAAACCGTATTAATACTTGGGCACAATTTTATGGTCTCTCAGTTAATCCAAGTAAATCTCAGGCAATCATTATAGGGAGTAGGTATATGTCACATGCATGCCGTTCCTTTCACTTGCCGCCAGTATCCATAGGTGGAATCAATATCCCTTATAGCGATACGGTGAAAAATCTTGGCGTCACAATTGATTCCAACCTCTCATGGACAGCTCACGTCGCTAATGTTAGTCGTAAAATGTATTTTTCACTTCACACATTAAAATGTTTGCAAAATTTCCTCCCCTTACATACTAAAATTGCCCTTACACAATCTCTTATTCTCCCACTTCTCGACTATGCCGATGTTTGTTATTTAGACGCTACGGAGGTATTGCTTGATAAACTTGAGCGCCTGCAGAATCTTGCTATTCGATTCATCTTTGGGCTTCGTAAGTATGATCACGTCTCCAACTTTCGAAAGGAATTCAAGTGGCTTCCCATACGTCTGCGCAGGAATGTCAGAATCCTTTGTTTCCTCTTCAATATCCTATACAATCCTTCATATCCTTCCTATCTTCGGGAGAGGTTTTCTTTCACCCACTCGCCTAATGTTCCTTGCAGGTCCCATCTCCAATCAGTACTCAAATGTCCTATTCATAAAACCGAATTTGCATCATACTCTTTCACGGTACATGCCATCCGCTTGTGAAACTTGCTGCCAGCAGGAATCAGAGACAGTCCAGCTGTTGCTACATTTAAAAAACGGTTGAAGGAACACTATCTATCCTCTTGAAACACTGTTTCCGAACTGTATTGCTTCTCCTTTTTAACACTTCTATATTTTATTTTAGTATTATATGTTTATTTGTATATCTATGTAGATATATATGTGGGTTTTGTTTATGTAAGTATTGTATTTTGTTATTTATATTCAAGAGGCACACTCTGACGACCCTTTTTTTATGTTTTTTCCTTTCGCGGGCCTGCTGGAAGAAATTTCAATATGAAATAAGCAGTGCCCTTGTACAAATTTCTTGTTCCTGTTCTTATCTGTTTTATTATGTGTGTACTAAATTTTTAAATAAATAAATAAAACATACATAACGTAAGAAAGGAGATGTTAAAATTTTCATCTACACCCATGATTTAAAACAGTTAGCTTATTGCCAACATTAAAACATCCAATTTCATAATAACAAAAAAAGACATTAAAACACCACTTAGTTATGAATGCGTATAGTATATTTATTATGGTTATCAAAATATATAATATGTAGAAAGATCAATATCAAATACTTTACAAAAACACGTATTCAAACTACATTCGTATTATACTAATGACAAACATCGAAGATATTAAAGATGTATATAAATATGATTGGGACAAAACGTAAACATGCCTGGGAAAAATTTTAACTGATTGTTAATCTTTAGTAGAGATTTTATTTTATTTAATTTTTATAATTTATTATGTTTAGGTTTATTATATTTCATGATTATAAAATTTCATAAACCGTAATAATATATTACGGATTATAAACGTAAAGAAAATTTTATTAGAAAGAATTCCACTCGGTCTATGTAGCTTGTCAGAGTGACTGAATTTTCATAGTGATACTTTCATTACATCGCCTCAAATTCTTACGTTTATCTTGTCATATTTCATTTTTAATTATGAATAAATATTTAGACCTAATCAACAAGTATCAGCGGTTCAGTGGAAGAAGACTCGTCTGCTATGGACCAAGGTCCGGGTTCGATTTCCAGCCATGAAAAAACTTATTTTTATTATCCACTTTTTATTCAGACAAAAACAAATTAGGCGATGCAAAACACTAAAAGTTTCACTTGCATCGTGGTTTCATAAAACCGTACCAACCATTTTGTTGTAAAATTTCCTTTAATTTGGATTTACTCAAAATCAAAAATAATTTATTTAGTCGATGCTGCTACAGGCATTGTGAATGTCAAGAAGCTACGCCATCGGTTCGCAAAACTACGGCGGGAGACCTTGTACTGAGAAGAATACTTCTGAAGTCACCTTCCATTTACTCACGTGTAAGTCCTCGACATGAAGGAGAGGAGCTCTGAAGTGTTGCTGCTTTGGTCGCCGCTTGCCCTCAGTTGCGCCAAGTTATGGAGGAAAAAGTTGATGGGCGTAAACCTGGATTACGTTATAATAAATTAGTACACACTACACATTCATTAGTAGAATTTCATTCAACCAAGTAATCGTATGTGAATGTTAAATACAGACTGTTGAAATGCAGCAATTGGAATTATAGAACTAAGCTCGACAGGCCGAAATCTTGTATTAAAAAGAATCTTTAAAAAATCTGGGTGAATTTGTTAAACGGAGCTATTCATTTAATATTTTATAAAGACAATGTTTCAATTAAAAAAAAAATTAGAAAAAACACTATGTAGAGATATTATAATTCAAATTCGAAAGCGCTTCAAATTATTTGTGTGATTAAATGTGCGTATTTGTTGCAATAATGGTGTCGTCGATTCTGGCAGGATACTCCAAACTTAAAACTAAATTTAATTGCATTCTGTATAAAGAATGACAAAGATACACTGTTATCAAATTTAAGTTTAGCTTTAGAGAATCATGCCAGAATCGACATCAATGTAACTGTAAGAAAACGAAATTTAGATTTGACTAATAATTTTCTCACAATCGATTAAGTTTACTTCAGTGTTGAGTTACGTACATGTTGTAACACTTTGAGCGAGGATTGTATGAGTCGTAGTGTGTGAGTTACATACTTGCTTTTGAGTGACAAATATATGAGTGTATGAGTTACGTACTTGCTTATGAGCGAGTATTGTATGAGTCGTTGTGTGAGTAACGTGCTTGCTTTGAAGAGACGAATGTATGTCTCTTTGTGTGTGAGTAATGTGAACTATTTATGAATGTCATTACGGGTTACTTCTGCGTTGAGTTACGAACTTGCTTTAGAGAGACGAATGAAGAAGTCACTGTGTGTGAGTTATGTCAACTGTTTATTTAGGTCGTTAAGGCTCATTTCTTTGTTGAGTTACGTACTTACTTTTGGGAGACCAATGTATGAGTCGTCGCGTGTGAGTTATGTTAACCATTGATGATTTTTTTAAGGGTTACTTCTGTGTTGAGTTACGTACTTGCTTTTTAGCGAAGAATGTATAAGTCTCGCGAAAGCGGCAGCCGCCTCTGCGTTAGTTGCGGCTGGTAGGAGGGCACTACGAACGTAGTTCACTGCCGCGCTTGTTACGCCAGTCACTCCAGACATCGCCATCTAAATATTTATTTATATGATGCTTTGGAATTGTAAGTAGTCACGAAACTTTACGAATGGATGGTGGAACGAAAATTTAGGGTGTATTCCGAAATATACACCAGTACGCTGGCCAGCGGTAATGACGTCATGATTTCGACGCCATATTGCACTGGTGTGCCGCCATATTATGCTGGTAAGAATACTGTGACGGAACCGGGTGTATACGCTCTGCAGTTAGTGAAGTTCTTTTTTGTATTAAATTGATAATAATGGAATCTCAACAAACAGAAAAAATAGTTTTGATTGATGAAGGGAATTAAAATTGTAGGTTAAAATTTATTTTAATTTTTGGAGCATGAACGTTGCACACAAACACGAGACTGCTTGAATATAGCGCCAGTTCATGACGTCACCGCGCTGATCAGTGTATTTGGAAGGAATCAACAGCATGGCGTCGATTCATGACGTCATTACCGCTGGCCAGACTACCGGTGTATATTTCTGAATACACCCTTAATGTACAGCAAAGAGCTAAGAAAGTACTATAGTCCCATTTAACCTTAACGGCGGCTGTGAATTTGCAGCGCAGGCAATGAATTACAAACGATATGGAATCAACCCTCTAACAATGGTCGCTGAAAAATGGTTAAAAAACTCATAGAGCTAAACTTCAATAGTAACGCGACACCCACACGGAAAAAATAAAATACTCAAATATCCGCAAATGAATTCGGCTACCCATTCATTGGGTAGATTGGGTAAGATAATGCTAAACGGAAACCCCACCAATCCCATGATCAGCGTATTTGATCGCAGTTTTTTCGCCCCGCCCACATGATCGCAGATTGTGTGGGACCACTTTGTAGCACGGTTCGTATTCTATGTACGGGTACGGGATTTTACCATGATTTCAGTGACTGAAACTTGGGCATAGTTGCGCTTACTGCTATACAACCGCCATAAAAATTATACCAACAAAAGCTATGGTTTTCGTCATTTGCCCGATTGTATTACTATCGTTATTTCAGCTAATAATTTCCCTTTTCTCACTTTGTATTTTGTAAGCAATTCATGTGATATGGATTTAAAAATCTATACATATAATAAAATGGTAGGAAACTCAAAACTCTACATTGAATATTTTTTAAAAGAATACTTGGGAGTGTGATCTACAATCGATACCGAAACCAAAAATATAGTTTTTAGAATTTTTGTCTGTTTGTATGTATATTATTGACGACCTCCGTGGCCGAGTGGTTTGTACGCCGGGTTTCATGGCTGTCGCCGACTCGAGAGGTCCCGGGTTCGAATCCCGGTGGGGGCAGATGTTTGTGTGATGAATACGAGCATTTGTACTCCAGTCATGGATGTTGTATTTATATAAATATAGTTATATATGTACAGTATATGTATTCTATCCGTTACCCTAGCATCCTAGGCTAATTGGTGTGAGTGTCGGAAATATTTATTTATTATTATTATATTCGGGATAAATTCAAAAAGTACTGCATGGATTTAGTTCAAATTTGGCACGAATTATTAAGAAGTCGGGTCAACATATAGGCTATCTCCTACGGGGTACGAGTAGTGAACCTTTATTTCTAACTAACTCCACGAGTACGAAGTCGGGGCGCGGCCGCTAGTACACAATATAACTTACCAGCGCGAACAAATCAAGAATGTGGTCGTGATGAGCTCTCACGATATTGAACGCCATACAACATAACTCCACAAAGTGTTGAAACCTTTGAGTCGGCCTCTCACCACCGTTGATAACGTAAACCATGTCGTTGGTGAGCACGAAAGGGGCGCGGTCTCTGTTCGTTCGAGAAATAATACTAGATTAGCTAACATAATCTTCAGGATTGAAAACTGCACAACAATGCTGGCTAGACGGCATTATTTGTACCTTAGCTCAGTTTTGTACAATAAAATTAATTATAAATTACATATTTACAGTTTACCATATCGTGAAAGTAAAAGTGTTTTAAATGAGTGGCTACTTAGTCTTCGATACGAAGATGTCGAATCTCTCATACAATAAAAAAATTATTTACAAACTGTACAAACGATTTAATTGCAAATAAAGATTATTATTATCTTTATATATATAATTCTTCTGTGAGTGTGTATGTCACTGAACATCTCTTAAACGACTGGACCGATTTTGATAAAAAATTTTTGTGTGTGTTCCCAAGGGGATCTGAGAATGGTTTAGATTCACAATTTTGTCCGCTGAACAACCCCTATTTTTTTAGGGCGGTACGAAGTTCGCTGGTTCAGCTAGTTAATAAATAAACGTTTATAACCCGTAGTCCTACTGGTAGTACGTCGGGCAATTTTACTTGTCCATGGTTCTATCAATAGGACCACGGACAAGCATAGTGCCTGTAGTTTAATTAGGAGTATTAAGAACACCTTTGGATTTTGTTACTGTAATATACGCATTGTATTGTGAAAATAAAGGAAATGTAATCGTATCGCATCATCAAAGTTTCTATGAAAACTAAGGAGCGCCCCTGCCGGACGTAAGAATAAACTTGACGATGATAGTATGATTACAGAGCGGTCAAAATTCGTTCTTAGGCCTGTTTAGTGAGTAGGTATGGATTAATAACACTTTCCCTTAGTGAAATACTAGGAACATTATAACAAAAAAAACTGTGTTTCAAGCGTTTATCGTCATATTTTAGTTAGAATCTATTGTTAAAACTGGAATTACTAAATTAAGTATTGTAGAAAAAAAAGTGTCGACAGACAGTAAGTTTTTACTACAGGGAAGTGAAAATTTAATATTACTTATTAATAGTAGTTTAAGAGCTTCCCACAGTCAAGTTAGTGCGCTGTATAATATTATGTATGTATGAGAACAAAAACTACTCCATACATCTCTTCCGTAATAAATAACTTACCTTTTAAAGTTCCCAAACATCTGCGCATCTCCTAGGAACTTGCCAAAGTCTATGTGGAACAGATGTCCCGATGTCTTCAGCATTATGTTGTCGTTGTGCCGATCGCAGATGCCCAATAAGTAAGTAGCTACGCTGTATCCGGCACAAGACGCTGTGCATGCCAAAAAGGGTGTTATTTAGAAATTAATACACTCGATAATAGGGTATTAGACAAGTTTTAGAAATCGATCTCACGTTATTGACTAATTAATGTTTATGGAGTCCGTAAAAAGTGGATATTCATCATTCTGTTGTATATTTCAGTAAAAATAACCAAATCATAAACTCTCATCTATATACACTATCATAATTTTCAAGTTCCTGCGAAAACGTTTTTCTGGACAATATGGCTTCTTACTAGTTTGTGACGTCACACGACTGTTATTAAAACGTCAAACGATACAATGTAATGTCACGTTAACCGGAAGTTTACTTGCGTGTGACGTCATTTTAGGTTCCGCCAGTTCCAAGCGTTTTGGGTCACGTGACAATAGATAAAAAAACTATTATCTTTTTCGTGGGTTTTTAGTAAAATTATGATTTTTTTTTTGTAAAAATAGTAAACACCCCTGCCAATATTCATTCTAAACACAGATGCTAACAATTGGCACTTTATTTTTTATACTTGCATGAGATTGATAAAATATAATTAACGTGTTTAATAAAGTAAGGAACCGCATATTTCTTTGATAGTTCCTACGAAGCGTTTTTTTGGCGATAATGCATGTAAGTATGACATCAAGTGATAGGTAAATATCAGTCACATATACAAATCTAAAACTTCGTAACTAATATTGAAACATATTTACGCAATCCAATCATTAAATGAAACACTTTTAAACAGGTAAATCAACGCCTTATAGTTCCTGATTTTAAAATGTTTTGAACACATTTTAAACGTTAATGAAAATAAATTTATAACTTTTTCCCAGTTAAAAAAGTGTTTCATACAATTATATTGAAACTTTATTTAAATACTCGCCAATAAACCTTTTCTGTCTCAATTCCATTGTTGCAACTATGGAAATGTCATATTGATATCTTAAATATTATTTAACACTCCCCATTAACCGTTTAATAATTTTTTTATTGAATAAGTGTATGAAAAAAGTTTACTCCCAACCAATGCCAAACAGAGCTTCCGAGATAATTTAAGGCTGTTTTATTACAAAGTTGACTTAAGCATGTAATTAGAAGATAAAATCTCATCATGAAATGACTAAAGTTATTCTTGGTTTAAACTAATGATGTATCTGTCTTCTTTGTAGCAAACAAAAGCGACAACATCAGTTTGAGACCAGGTTTATTTTAAATCAATGTTGTAATAAGACAGACGGGTTGAGTTTCCTAAAAGACAAAGTAATAAAAAAATATGCTTACCGGTAAAGTTGTCTCTGGCACGCTGGTACTCTAGTTCCGAGGGATTGTGTTTGGCCAGCCATTCCGCTATAGGTTTGTCTTTGAACGACCCGGTCAAACCCCATTCGGTCTGAATGGCTCGTAAAGTTTCTGCTTCAGAAACTATCTCTATCATTCCTAAAGAAATAAATATTGTTACAATATCGCACTCACACTGCTTCGTCTGCGAATAACAAAATATCTTTGGGAAAGCTTTGCTTTTTAGCTTTGTTATTACAGTAATTTTGAATATGCATCCAACTTTTGGAAACATTTTTATGTCATAATATACGAAAATAAGGCTAAAAGTAGAATAACAATATATATAATAAAAAAATATTAAAACAAACTTGATTATCGTTAAAGATATTTTTTTCCCACCTACGAGCGCTGAGAGCGCATTCTAAATGAGAAAATCCTATAAGAAATTGCAAAAAAAACTCTTAAACTAATTACCTCTTTTATTGCTAGTGGGTAAGGCTTCGAATGTGACCATACGCAGGTCCAATCCCGCCTTCAACCACAAACTGTCCATAACTTTGATCACTTGTAGCACCAACGCATCTTGTCGCAAATCATCACCCACCTACATTGAAAAATATACCTTATTAGCAATAAAATAACGGTCATATTGACATGTGGTATATAATGTAGGTACATTAAAATTATAATACCTTGAACATGGCAGGAACTATAGCGTTATCCACGCCAATAAAGTTGATTTTGAGGGGCAACGTATTTGAAGAAAAATATGAGCAGGACCTACGGAGCAGAAAAAGGTTTAGTTGAATATTTTTTTTGTATGATTATTCGATATCGAAAAATGTTTCGATTATTTACGAAATATCGAATGGATATTCAGGTATTTCTAATAGAAATACCTGAAAATCTATACTAATAAATGCGAAAGTTTTTCATCTGTTACCTCTTCACGGTTAAACCGCTGAACCGATTTAGGATTTGGTATAGAGAAAGTTTCAGTCCCAAAAAGGACATATGATAGTTTTCATCCCAGGAATCATCTTTTAAGAGGGTAAAAAGGGGGAAGTTTGTAAAGGAAACTGTTTTTTCCATGCAGATAAAGTCGCGGACACATGCTAGTTGATAATAACACATGTAAAACTGTAAACTTACTTGATAAGTCGTGCACAAATGAACGCAGCGCTTATGGTAAAGCCATGTGCTCGCTGCGCAACAGAATTTGGCCTTATCTATACAAATTTAAAGTTTGTGAGGTTGTAAAGGGCAATCTACTGAGCCGTTTTTGAAAATGATTTTAACAATAGCAAGCCACGTTATTGTGAGTGCCATAGGCTCTACATTACAACAAAAACTATAGTCTACTCCGAAGCGAAGCGACGGTAGGTCACCAGTTGATTATAATTCCTTTAAAACTGTATACTTACTTGATATACACGTAGTGCCTGTATGAACGCAGCGCAAGTGGTAACAGGGCCATAGGATAGCTTTTAATCCATATTTTAAGTGAAGTGAAAAAGGACATACGATAGTTTTTATGCAGGAAATCATCATTAAAGTGGGGATAAAAGGGGGATGGAAATTTCTAATCCATTTTTTATACAGCAAAGTCGCGGGTAACCTCTAGTTGATTATAATACCAATAACACTGTAAACTTACTTGATACTTACGTCGTGTACATAATATGCAAGCAGCGCCAATGGTAATGCCGTGGGCTCGTTGGGCAACAGCGGACACTTTAGTTCCGCTCACTATCTGAGGCCATCTTTGGACTTATTGATAAGGGTCCACTTGTAGCAAATTTGCTAAATCTCGACTTAATTAAAACTAGATTTAACCCATAAAAATGTCAAATTGACGTTTTAACATTTCTGTTTGCGCTAAATCTAGTTTTTCTATTTAAATCGAGTTTTGTGCAAGTAGGCCAAATTTGTTTTTTTTTATGCGTAATAGGCAATGCCAAACGCATTCGCACAATCTCGCCTGATGGAAAGCGATGATGAGGCCTAGGATGGTACACGCCTGCCTAGAAGATACCTGTTCACTCTGGCCTTGAAGATGTCCATATTATATTGGTCCGGGCAAACAGAGATAGTGCGAATGGAAGGAATTATATCTGGAAAACTGTAAACTTACTTGATATCCACGTCGTGCACGTATGAACGCAGCGCTAATGGCAAAGCCGTGGGCTCACTTCGCAACAAAGCGGACACTTTGGATCCGCCCGCTATTAATGCGCGCTGTCTCAGGCCTTCTTTAGCGCATTTCACTGATAAAGCCACTTCCGACAATGTCTGCCGATAGAAATATTCACTATTAGTTTGATAATTTATGTTATAGAGTTCTCACGAAGCTCGCGTCACCGGGCCCCATTATTATGTGTGATAAGGATTGACCGCCATGCGTTGTGTGTTTTGTTTACATTAATTAATTACTTCTGCGTAGTCTTAACTTTTGTATAATTCTTTGTTTCGAGATTGTGTTAGGGGCCCGGCATGTAGTTTTATTCATTCCTGTTTTTAATACTGGTGACTGAACACGTTACTTGAAATATAACCGCATTTTAATTTCGCCACCCTGACCCAACTTCTGTTACACTTCAGAAGTGGGATAAGGACAATGTCTGGACCTTACATTCGTGGTCTCGGCAAGCGCCACCGCAGAGATTCGACTTCATCGTCGTCGACGGAAGAAGACAATGAAATTTTTTTCTGTGAAGAACAACACATAACGTCGCAATCCAACAAGAGACTACGAGTTACCCAAACTGATGCTGAAGTAATACCAAAGTTTCGCCCGGAAGACAAATCAAGCAACATCAAAAGCTGGTTACATAAGATTGACCAACTCGGAGATATTTATGGCTGGAACAGTAAATCCGCCTTCGCGGCTCTGCACGAGAATGGTATGACGACCTAGAGGACTACGATTTGACTTGGCAAGCATGGAAACAAGCACTCCAAACCGCTTTTCCACGATCAACTGACTAGGTAAATAGACTGGAAGAAATGTTAGCAAGAACGAAACTGGAATCGGAAACGATGACTAAGTACTACCACGCGAAATTGTCTCTACTTAAAAAGTGCAATATTTATGGAGAAGCGGCAATTTCTTGCATCATAAGAGGGTTACCACAGGAACTGCAAGCGAACGCCAAGGCATACCAATGTGATACGCCTGAAAACCTATATTTTGGCTACTTATCATCAAATAAAACTAGTTTTTATGGGTAAAAACTAGTTTTATTTAATGAGTGATGTGCGTGAAAACCTAAGAGACAAATATACTTATCATCACTCGAAAACTACAACCGAGTTGAAGCTGCTGGTACCACACGGAAGTCTACTTGGAGAAGAGGTACCTACGGGAACAACAACTATTCTGCAACAGCAACGAACAAAGATACGTCATCGGGTACAACAAAACCGCTACTACAGAAGATTTGCTACGTGTGCCGAAAACCAGGACACGAGGCTAGGGACTGCACGGCTTCGCCGCGACGCTGCGAGGTGTGCAAGCGCGTCGGCCACGTCGCTGCGAACTGCTGGTTTGCTGCAGGGACTTCGCGTCAACAATCAAATAAGGTCAGTAGTGCCATGGTTATTACTCATAATTTTTTATAGGGATTTACATAAAAGAATTGTGTATGTTGACGGAAATCAAATTCTTGCTTATGTAGATACAGGCAGTAAATTAAACATTAGAACGACTACACAGGCAGCAATTTTAAATTGAAAAATAAGTCCATCTAACGTCGTTATGAAAGGATTTGGAGACTCGTATATTAAATCAATGGGTACATCATTTATTAATGTCGAAGTAGATGATATCATATTAAAAGGTGTAGTTGAAATAACAGACTATAATTTTGGAGACATAGATTAGATTATCGGGCAAACAATGATTAATGTTGAAAATGTTAATTCATCTAATTTGTGCACCCTACCACTATTTATCCACAACACCCTATGGTTGACTGGTAGAGAATGCCTATGGCATTAAGTCCGCCTTTGTACACTTGTGCATTAAGTATAAATAAATAAATAAATAAATAAATAAAATGTTAGCTTAGTCACGACGGCAAAGTCTGTGAGATTTGTATCTACGTGTGGTTTAGAAAATCTTTTATCAAATATTAAGTTGAGTTCTTTTGACTGTGTTTCAAAGTTTCCGATTTACTTGAAATATGATACTGTTTTACCAATGCGAGATTATGCTTATGTAGAGATTGTAGTGGAGTGTCCACACAGTGAATACGATGTTACACTAATGACTCAACCTGTTTACTATCAATTAGGGAGTCTATCTTATTTTATTCCACAAGTGATTATAAGTTCGAGACAATGCTTCTTAAAAGTTATTAATGTAGGCGATGAATCTATTGAGTGGGAGGCGAACAAATTAATTGCTAGAGCAGAATTAATATCAGTTAGAGATTTTAACAAATCATCTTTCATTCAACCAGTGAACCAAATAGATGAATCTAAAAAGAGAGTTCTTACAGTAACTGATATAGATGTTGGACAACTAGATGATGTGCATTTGAACATACTTTTACTTACTCTTAATAAACATATAAATTCATTTGCTTTTTCTACAAAAGATTTAGGTTGTACTAGTTTAATGGAAATGCATATACAAACAACGGTAGATCGACCAGTTTATTTTAAACCATACCATCTCTCACACAAAGAAAATGATATTGTAAATAGTAAAGTTCAAGATCTCATCGAAGTTGGTATTATTCAGGAGTCTGTGTCAGATTACGCTAGTCCAGTTGTGTTAGTTAAGAAAAAGGGGGATGATTACCGGCTCTGTGTTGACTATCGTGCCTTAAATGCACGAACCGTAAAAGATCGTTTTCCATTACCTCATATTGAAGATCAAGTGACACGTCTAAGTGGAAAATCATTCTTTACTACCCTTGATCTTGCGTAAGGTTATTACCAGGTTCCTATGGCTACAGATTCTGTGCATAAAACGGCTTTCGTGACACCTTCGGGGCAGTATGAATTTTTGAAAATGCCCTTTGGACTTGCCAATGCTCCGGCTGTTCTCTCTAGATTAATACGCATGACATTACGAAGTGTTCGCGAAGATATAGCCTTATATTTAGATGATGTCATGATTCCATCTATCTCAGTAGAAACAGGATTAGTAATATTAGAAAAAGTGCTGCAGTTGCTCAAAGATGCAAATTTAAAATTAAACTTAAGTAAATGTTTATTTCTCAAAAGGAGCACTAATTATTTAGGATATGAGGTTACAGCAGGGACGATACAACCAGGTCAAGCTAAGATAAATTGTATCGCTCAGTACAAAGTACCAAGAAATGTACATGAAATAAGACAATTCATTGGTTTGACTTCCTATTTTCGAAAATTTATTCGAGGCTTTGCTGAAATTGCCCGACCATTAACAGAATTAACTAAAAAGAACATCGAATGGCGATTGGAAAGAGAATAGCAACAAGCCTTTGAAACCTTAAAAGAAAGACTGATAGAACGTCCGGTTTTAGGTATTTATGATCGAAATGCTGAGACAGAATTACATACCGACGCAAGTAAATTAGATTTAGGAGGAATACTTGTGCAGCGTGGAACTGATGGATGTTTAAGACCGATCGCATACTTTAGTAGAGTCACAAATCATGATGAGCAGTTTTATCATAGTTACGAGCTTGAAACACTGGCTGTAGTCGAATCACTGAAATAATATAGAATTTATGTGACGGGTATACATGTGAAAGTAGTCACGGATTGTGCCGCGTTGCGTACAACTCTCCTTAAAAAGGATTTAATCCCCCAAATTGCCCGCTGGTGGCTTACTATTCAAGACTTTGATTTAGAAATAGAATATCGTCCAGGCGAACGAATGAAACATGTGGATGCCTTGAGTAGGAATCCGGTGGGTAAAACAGTATTGTTGATTGATGATACGGATTGGTTACTGACCTTACAGCTGCAAGATGATAATATTCAAAGTATTATGACTCAGCTACGCGCGGATACGACTAACCGCGATATCACAAATAACTATGTAATCAAGAACGATCTTTTATACAGGAAGACGTTGGCAGGTGAAAGATTCGTTATACCGAAATCGGCTAAATTTAGCTTGCTGCAGAAATTTCATGATCAAATAGTTCACCCAGGTTTTAATAGATGTGAGCAAGTTATTAAAGAACAATTCTGGTTCCCAGGAATGACGCGTTTTATACGTAAATACGTAAGCTCTTGCTTACGATGCGCTTATGGAAAAAGTGAATATGGCAAGCAGCAAGGAGAATTGCATCCTATTACCAAGGAACCTATTCCTATGCACACATTGCACGTTGACCACGTTGGCCCATTTACTAAGACAAGGAGAGGATACAACTACATCCTTGTAGCTATAGATTCGTTTACCAAATTTGTGTTTTCCAAACCTGCAAAAAGTTGTGGTTCTATTGAAACAATAAGACTCCTTAAAGATATTTTTAATTTATTTGGGTTTCCCCATAGGATCGTAACTGATCGAGGCAAAGCTTTTACGAGCAGATATTTTAAGCAGGTCGCAGAAGAAGTGCAGTTCAAACATATTTTGAATGCTATAGCTAGTCCACGATCAAATGGACAAGTTGAGCGAGTAAATCGAACTCTCATTGATGGTCTTAATACAATGTCAGAAAGTGAATGCGTTTGGGATGAAAAACTGTCTGATGTTGTATGGGGTATTAACAATACTCCTAATGCAACTACAGGTAATGCACCCTTTAAACTCATATTCGGTCATGGCAATTCGCGTCTTCCTGCATATCCTAATTCAAATTCCTATAACTATAGCGCGCAGCAAGAACAATTAGAAGAACGTAGAGGTACAGCTAAATTACGTATTGATCGTAATATGATATTAATGAAGATAAGTTCGATGGTAAACATAAGAAATGCAAAAAGTATACTGTTGGACAACTAGTTTTATGGAAAGGAGGAACAACTAAAGATCGTGCTTCTAAAGTTGTGAGAAAACTCGAAGAACTTTACTCAGGGCCTTATAAAATTTGTGCAGCTGACCACTCTCTAGACCGTTATACAATTACTAGTATAAAAGGAATGAAAGGTTAAAGGAAATTTAATGCCATAGTTGCAGGTGAAGCTCTTCGACCTTATAAACCTACAGTATCCGATGATGATAGTACTGATAGTGATCATGAAGTAGATAGAGATGATCTTATTGATTTGTTAGAAAGCTAGAATTAAAAGATTACGATTTGAATATGAATGAAAAGTAGGTACTTTAGATTATCCATAAATATAGTACTATAATTTTATGTATCAATACGTAAAGTTAAAATAAATAGCAGCGAACAGACTTTGTGTTGTCTCTAAAAATGTGATTTAACATAGATATCTCGGATTATCACCTAATTACCATAACTAGTATTGGTGGAATATGTGCCATGACTGTAAGATTTAATTATAAATCTAGCTGGCTGTGTGCACAATCGTCTATTGGGAATAAATTCTTATGTCTAGAAAAAAAAAAACTACACTTTGCAGGGTGCGAGTATTATGTGAACAGATTTTACTGTGTATTGATGAAATCTATGCTATGTGAATAGATTCTACACTGTGTGAATATACTCGTACTGTATGAATAAACTCATACTGTGTAAATAGAGTCTTAACTGTGTGAATAAACCATACTAGAATCGACACCACTGTGTGTATATACTCATACTGTGTGAAGAAGTTTAATCAAGCTGTGTGAATAGAATCTAAGCTGTGTGAATAGATTCTACGCTCTGCGTGATAAGACTCATACTGTGTGAAGTAGTTAAATCAAACTGTGTGAAATGAATCTAAGCTGTGTGAAAAGATTCTACCCTATGCGTGAATAGACTCTTACTGTGTGAAGTAGTTAAATCAAACTGTGTGAAATTAATCTAAGCTGTGTGAAAAGATTCTATCCTATGCGTGAATAGACTCATACTGTGTGAAGTAGTTCAATCAAGCTGTGTGAATAGAATCTAAGCTGTGTGAATAGATTCTACGCTGTGCGGATAGATTCTACAGTGTGAAAAGTTCTACAGAATGTAAATGATAGAAGAAATAACGACCGCACCTAATCACTTTAGAGCGACGATTACGATTGGTTACAATGAGGCTGTGTGAAACCGAATACACACTCAATTTAACCAAATTTTCTTTTACATATAGCTGCGTGATTCTTCATCTGACAATGTGATAGATTAGTAATATAAACTCATCTAGTCCTTATGATACTGCGTGTGTTAATTTTGTTGCAGGCTCCAGACAACAGCAATGAAGGACCACGTTAGACGCCATCGTGTGGACACGATGCGGTTGCAGGATGGCCGAGTGTTATAGAGTTCTCACGAAGCTCGCGTCACCGGGCCCCATTATTATGTGTGATAAGGATTGACCGCCATGCGTTGTGTGTTTTGTTTACATTAATTAATTACTTCTGCGTAGTCTTAACTTTTGTATAATTCTTTGTTTCGAGATTGTGTTAGGGGCCCGGCATGTAGTTTTATTCATTCCTGTTTTTAATACTGGTGACTGAACACGTTACTTGAAATATAACCGCATTTTAATTTCGCCACCCTGACCCAACTTCTGTTACATTTATTTTCAATATTATGCCAGCTCTTCACAACGCTATTCGTATTTCATTATTGTCATTTTGCCAGCAAGTTGTCCTTATTATAATTGATAGGGAGTAATAAGGAGAGACTGTCATCAAGTTTACAAAATAGTAAATACGCATAGCTATTTGAAGTGTCGGCATTGACAAAGAAATAAGGCATATATTCTTCCGCATATAGCAATAAGTCGTAAATTTTATGAGCTGGCATTTCGAACTGTCATATCTCTTTTTCTAATAAAGACCTTATACAGTATGCATTAAAGGTCACAAATAGTAAATACAAAAAGCTATTTCAAGTGCCGGCATTACCCGATAATTAATGTGATCAAATAAAAAGTGTGGGACAGAGCGAGGAGCTGAAAATTGTATTAACAGACATCTTCTACTATTACATAGCGACATTAATCAGTTTGTCAATCATGAGTTAACCTAATACATCCGACTTAAATATACTTTTATAGGTAAAATATGAACTTGCAATGAACGAGCAATTTCATTTGGTCGGGTTATATTTTTGAGATATTTAAAGAGATTTCGTACGTTGTTTCGTGGAATAAGGCTGTGGATGTTCTCGTAACAATACATATTCAGAAAGGAGATATTTATGACAACAATAAAAAGCAAATATCTATATCTTCCTTACCTTAACTAGTAACTGCTGTTGTACTAAAGTTCTGTGTAAATTCTGTCCAGTGATGGCGAGTAAAGCGCGCAGTAACAGGCGACAACGCCAAGCGCCTGTTAGACATCCGTCTGTTATATCTTGGGGTTCTCCGGGACTCTCTTCAAGTGTGATGCCTAGGAATTCTTCGTTGGGCGCCTGTTCGGTGCAATAACTGAACATTAATATTTTGCATATTTGCAATAATTGATACCGTCACGGTGCCTGGCCTAATTTAGGTCATTAGGCGGTGCACAGCGAAAAATATAAATTAGTGTAGATTTCGACGCCTATGCGAATGCACACATTACCATAATAACATTATTGTAGTATTTTTAAGAACATTTGTGAACAAGTAATAAACACGTACTTTTCGATAACAATTTTATCATTTCAACATCCACTAAGCTCGGGCACTAACAGCATTTAAAGTGTCAAAAATTTCTTGTGTAATGTAAGAGAGGGAGAGCGAATTTCCGCTTTTTAGACGCTATATATATGTGTGTGTACATATACATGTTATAACATATGAAAATGCTAACACATATATACATCGTATAGCATCGTCTTTTACGATTCATTTCTATGGGCACAAAATTAACTTAAGTATTATTACTAAATACATTATCTGAATACCTGAGGAACATTTGGGAGCGAGTGGACTAGCAGCCAGAATAATCTATGAGCTACGGCGGGCGCAGCTAATGCACGAGATAGCAATAGTTCTGAAAAAAAACATGGCACAAAATTTTACATTACAGTTTTAAATTTTCTAAGCACTTTGTGGGTGACATGCAAAATTTCTGAATTAAAATGAGCACTATCAATGAATATTAAGTTTTTTTTTTATATATAAAACATAAGCTTTCCCTGTATGTGTAGATAATATGAAAAACGTTTTGGACAAATTTACCACTGTTTCCTTCGTACCTTTGAAACTAGATAGTATATTTGTGAGGTTATTTATTATGAAATGTAATTAAAATAATACAAATTCTATACATATTAAAGTTGAAAATGAGTTATTAATTAAGAAAGTACATCCAAAACTCGGCAGTGGACCTTAACAGCATACTAATAAAGTGAATAATCCACTGACCTGCTAACGGGCTACACTCGTAGGTTTCATGCCGCAGAGCTTGAGCCAGTTGCGGCAATATTCGACAGAGGTCGTCGTCGGACATTTGATCGAGGAGAGTAGCCGCTGTCTTCCTGACTGCTGCGTCTGGGAAACTAGAAAAAAAATATCTATTAATAGTAATTTCCCTATTACATCCATAGCAAAGGCCTGTACCCAACGATTAAGAAATGTTAAGGAAAAATTACTATCTAACAAAGGCCGCTAAAACATAGTTCCTAACTCATACAACTAAACTTCAATACTAACGCGACACGTACGTACGTAAAGACAAAACAAAATGCTTTGACAAATCAAATATGTATCTGCAAATGAATTCGGCAATCCATTTATTATCCTTAGTTATAAGTTATATTGTATACTAAGTGTGTTGGATCTGTGTTGTCTGAGAATAAATGATATTATTATTATTTATTAGGTAAGATAATGTAAAACGGAAATCCCAACCAATTCCATAATCAGCGTGTTGATCGTATTTTTTTTTTGTCCCGCCCACTTGATCTCCGTTTGCGTGGAGCCACTTTTAAGTGCAGTTCGTATTCCATTTTATTTGTAATTTGTCGCCTGTGCCTCAGCAGTGGGGACATTAAAAGGTTAATGATGATAATACATAGTACCATTACTATCAACTATATATTACCGACCCGCCCAGCTTTGGATTTGCGCAGGTAAAAAATATTTTATTTATTTTAATGCGATAAAATATAGCCCCTACGCTACTCAGGAATAACGTAGTTTCTACTCGTGAAAGAGTTTTCGAAATCGGTTCAGTAGTTCTAGAGATTATTTCCTATAAACTCGCAAACTTTACCGAGACTTTACAATAGATTAGTCATCATCATCAGCCTCTCAATTTTCTATCGCTAGGTCCACATTAATATGGATGGAAAAGGGAGATTGGATCATCCGCCAAGCGGTCTAGACCGAATTGGTGGGTAATATTTTTTCCCCCCCATCCTATAACCGGCCTTTGCGAAGGTTGCTTAACTTACACGATCGCTCTTCTGTCTCACATTACATTTCAATTATTATTATAAATCAAGGTAGCAGCAGATGCATGGCGTTAAGTGCAGAGTTGTTAGTCACTTGCAGCACAGCGGGATACCACAGGGATCTCCACTAGGTATAGACATTTTTAAACGTTGTTTCTGACCTTGCTATAGTAATTATTGGTTATATCCACCGAGGCAGCAGCAAATGCATGGCGCGACGTAGTTGAGCAGCAAGTTGTTAATCACTGCTACCAGAGGGATGCCACAGGGATAACCATTAGGTCCTGTACCTATTATCATACTGGATGCTAGTGTTTATCTAGATTATCTTTGTATAATGATTATGGTTATATCTACCAAGGCAGTAACATATGCATAGCGTTTGGGGGCGATGATTTACACCACACCTGCAGTAAGTTGACGAGCTGGGCTCGTGCCCTAATGGTTATCCCTATCAACACCAAAGGTAATGCCCCAGGGATCTCCACTAGATACTGAAGTTTATCTAGCTTACCATTGTATAATGATTATGGTAATATCTACCAAGACAGCAGCAAATGCATGGAGTTGAACAGTAAGTTCTTAATCACTAGTAACAGCGGGATGCCACAGGGACCACCATTACGTCCTTGACTTTTATCATACTGGATACTGGTGTCTATCTACATTATCTTTATATGGTGACTAGCTGATCCAGCGAACTTCGTACCGATATTAAAAAAAATAGGGGCTGGTGGTGGAAGGGTGAAATTTAAATATAACCTATAAAATTTCACGAAAATCCGTCGAGCCGTTTCGGAGTAGCTCAATTACGCACACCGTGACACGAGAATTTTATATATTAGATTATGGTTATATCTACCAAGGTAGTAATAGATGCATGGCATTCAGGGGCGATGGTTTACACCACAGCCGCAGTAAGGCGACGAGATGGGCTCGATGATCGCCGTACCAGTTGGTGGCCGCTAACAACACCAACGGTAATGCCCCAGGGAGCTGCACTAGGTACTGGCGTTTCTCCCACAATATCTTTGAACGAAAAACAGTATTTGATTAATTATCGGTGGCTTATATTTGAGTGCATTAAAATTCCTTTTCCTGCAATCGCGGCCGAAGTCAATTTTTTTTTAATTAGACTATGATTGATACTGTCACTCTCCTTCTTATAACAATATCTATATAATCTGACTTAATAAAAAAAACATTTGAGGTTTCTGAGTACGGTTGTCAGTTATCTTTCCTACTTTTTACATCTCTTCTTTCTTTCATCACAAGTTTTATTCGTGACTTTATTGTGAGAACACAAGTGTATTAATTACTCGTCAAATGGATACGATCAATAAATATATATGATGTTAATCACGTTTACTTATTATATATAATAATAATACAGCTGCAAAATGGCTTCAGCAAAAAATATACGGGGTTCCAAAGCACATAAATTCGAAATCTATTTTCAGTGATGTGCAACGTAGACACGATGGTTTTGGGTGAGTTGAGTATCACTAAGAAATGTTTATAAGATCAAATCAAAAACTCGACAGTCTTTAAGTTTGACCTTGACTTTTCTAACACTTGAGCGCAGCGAAATCGCTACTTGTAATTTTAACTACCCGCATAAAGCCTTACAGCTTAAGAAAGGATAGAAAGAATTCGACACTTCTATCAGAGCCGCGGTAGCATAATGGCCAGTGCATTCGCCCGGATAGCGAAGTGTGCGGGTTCGATTCCCGTTTGCTGCCTGGTCCGCGTGGATTTTCTTCTAGTAAAATTTTCTTAATATTCAAATACCCACATTAAGTATTTGCTTTGTGTTACTAATCTTCATTATTTTTGTTTTGTTGTAAGTACTTATCTAAATGATACTTTTAAATCGTCTTATATTGTGTATATATAGTTCTTTAAACCAAAAGTTTCCGGCCACTCACCTCTCTGCCTTCCGTAGGCATTCTCTGGTAAGCCCCTTGTTCTATCAAATGCAACAATTGTGACTGCGTATGCCCGTCCAGGGAATCGAACGCGGGCAAATCGGCCGGGGACAAAGTCTTCTCCTTATCCTCTTCACCGTTCGTCCATTTGACACCATTAGGCGCGTACAATGGAATCTCTGGAAGGTTACAAATGTTTTGATCGCACTCTCTTTCATGGTACGGACTAACAGTCAGATTCAAAGTTACCGCTTTCTAGTATACCAAGACTCTGAGTAAACTCACGGCTAAACAAAAAAAAGGATATAGAGAAACTATATAGACTTCTTGATAGTTACATCAATTAGCCAAGCCCCGATGAGCACTTAGTACAAATCCAAGTATTTAATCCAATTGCTATAATAGCATAAATTATTCCTAAACAACCAAAAGTTTATTTTTCCCCTCTTTCTTGAGAAATTATATGAGAAATTATCCCAAATCCTGGAAGAATTAAAAGATAACCACCAAAGTAGCAGTTGTGTTAGACAAAATTGACAAATTGCGGAACTTACAAGTTTTAAGTTTCGCGTTATGTTTTTGATTGGCCTACTGAATGTGAAATAGACAAGACAAATAAATCGTCATCACTTAAAAGTAAGATTGACTTTACATGATTTTAGTTTACCACTTCAAAGGCGTGATTAGCTGTTCATATTACAGCTTTCCAGTAGTGAAAGAATAAACAGAGATACGTTATAAAGATTTGACGAACTCCGTGGCCGAGTGGTTTGTACGTCGGGTTTTATGGTGTCGCCGACTCGAGAGGGGTTCGAATCCCGGTGGGGGCAGATATTTGTGTGATGAATACGAGCATTTGTACCCCAGTCATGGATGTTAAATATATATATATATATATATAGAATTATATATTTACAGTATATGTATTCTATCCTAGTATCCCATAACACAAGCCTTACAGTGCTTACTTTGGGGCTAGGCTAATTGGTGTGTTTTGGAAATATTTATTTATTTATTCATTTAAAGACTTCTTTTGCCCTAAAAAGCAGTAGGTGTTCATGTTTAGTTACCTATATTGACCACGGGATACGGATGCGGCGGCGAATTCATGGGATGAGGTGCGGGACCGATACGTCGATCGCAACCGGGACCCCATAGCGGCAATACGTAAGTTCCCGAGGCCAGGATACTGACACAAATAATAATAATAATCATTTATTTCGGATAACAATGGTTCCATAGTGGGTTAATACCAAACAGATTATACTTAAGAACTAATGTTAGTCAATAAAGACATATGGTTTGAATAAATAAATATTTGACACACGATGTCACCCCACGATGCTCCCACCTATACGAGTGCATGCAGTATCCAGCGAGCTAGCATCGGAGAGTCTCACCGTTCTGCCAACACCCTCAGGATACAAAACATAGAACTTATTAGTCATCATCACTAGCCTATTAATGTACCCACTGCTGAGGCACAGGCCTCCCCTATGGATGGAATAGAGAGATTGGGCCATGCCATGCCATGACGCGGTCCCATTGCGTATTGGTAGGTGCTAACAACTGCAAATACAGCCGGGGCCAACGCGCCTTCCGAAGTACAGAGGAGCTCGAGATAGTAAAATTTTATTCACCCATCCAAAAACCGATTACTGTGAAAGTTGCTTAACTTCAATGATCGCAGCCAAATGCGCTAACCACTTGCGTCATCGAGCTCCTCGAACTTATAAGTGTAGTATATAAATTATTTTATGAAATATAGGTAATAATTATTTTGTTTTGTATTCTTAAACCATTAATTTTACTGTTATGAAACGATGGAGTCAGTTTTACGTACGAGAAGAAGGGAGTTATTTTCAAAGAAGAAAATATGTCAAAAAAATTAAAATAAAGTGCACCCAACAACACATTACATTACTGATGTCGATTCTGGCATGATTCTCTAAAGCTAAACCTAAATTTGACAACAGTGCATCCTTGTCAATCTCTATACAGAATGAAAAGGAGAGACTGATGTTAAATTTAGTTTTAAGTTTAGAGAATCACGCCAGAATCGACACCACTGTCATGATAACAAGAATTTCAAAATCGAATGTATACCTTATTACAAGCAGAACAAAGCCGAAAATCAGTGGGTGAAATTACTATGCATTTAATTTTAAAAAGGCCCCATTTGTATTTTGTGCTATAATAAACACTTGTGAATAAAGAAAAGCTATCCATTGGTTCCTGAATACTTAAAAGAAACAGGCAATTTAATTAATAACTATTACAACTTTATTAGTAACACAACATTTTGTCCACATACCCATCGTAATCGAACAACTGTAGCGCCGCCCATCCCAATTCCACTTGCTCGAACTGAACATTTGCAGTCTCTTCTTGATCTGAGTTGTTTGTTTGATTCACATCGTTCGGATGCGGCCCGTCGACTGTACGCTGCGTTCTACCGTACAGGGTTATGACTAGGCGAGCTTCTCGAGGCAGCGTGCTTATTGGAACGTCTTCCAAATTGAGCCTTATAGCAAAGATATAAAGTTGATTTTTGCACGACATTACAAGAAAACGTGATTTGACACGTCGTCCAAATTAGTAGATTTTGAATGACAATATAATTTACGGTTCTCTCTCAGCAGTCTGACTGTACCGGCAGGGCTATTAAGGTAAGCAATAGCAGCTTGCGGACTGAGTTTCTGATTCAATTTTTTTTATTTGTGGTGGTTTCTAACAGTAATAGAGGTGTGTGTGGTGTTATTTTAAATCCTTTTGACGACATTTTGAGTATATTTTTTTGTCAAGAAAGTAGTAATCGTAGGCAAATCAGTTGCAAGTTAGTATAACATAAACAAAAAGCAGAGATTTTTGATATGGTCTTAATAACCATACTGTTTTTAGACTTTACGCTGTGTTCGGCTCTATAGATTTATTGCATAACGAGCTTCACTGAGTAGAGTTTACTGGCCCACCTTCTAAATTAAGCGTATTACATACCAACCTAAAGACTTAATAAATATTTATATAACACTAAGCAAGCTTTTTAAAAATTCATATCTTTTTATCAGTAAAATGCATCCAAATCAGGTACGGGCAGGACGCTTATTTGGAATAGGGCAAAACCTTACCAAGTATCAAATATGATCCTCGGATAAAACCCGCCGCACTCGACACTTGAGGTCTGCGTAAGGTGCAATGTCTTCAGAGGCCGCGTTCCGTAATAAACTTGTGTATGAAACAGGTATTCGTCGTGGTTCCAGCATAATGGGAGGCAGTGGACAGCCTCGATGCAGAATAGAGTGGTCTCTGGTATAGTGTACGCGGGAACAGCGTCTGTATAGTAAAAAAAAAATATTATCTTCTGGTGTCGATTCTGGCATGATTCTTTAAACCTAAACTGAAATTTGACAACAGTGTATCCTTGTTATTTTCTATACAGAATGAAAAGGAGAGACTGATACCAAATTTAAAGTGGTGAAATGAGGAGTACCAGTTACGTAAAATCTCCCCATTAAAAGAAACGGTATAATATGCAAAACCTCAGAAAGCCTTACAAGAAATATAAAAGGCATGTTGAATCTTTTCTATATAAATAAAAACCTTATTCATACCTTCCTAAAATTAGTTCGGATTGCGAGTACGCGCCTCAAGATCTTGGTTGCACTGTAACAGATATTGCTCAAAAAAAACAATTTTGATACTCACGCGTGACAGATGCAGCGTTATGCAGCAGATACTGGGCATCTGTGAGCTGGAAGTCCAACAATCTTGTCCTTGTGTATAGCGCCAGTAGAGCCCTTACAGCGTCTCTGAGTCTCGCGCATTGTAAGGCGACAGTTTCACGAGCGTTCGCCGAACGCAACGAGACGGCGGAATAAGGGCCATTGTCGCCGTGTATTTCAGGGGTGACCGCGTTACTGACGCGCTGCAATCGGAAATATGTGAATGAATTAAAACCACGCTTTACACACCATTAAAAAGTAATTTATCATATAACATATTGCTGGATGTCCTCTATATAGTCAAGTCTTGCGTATTGTATGCGACGGTCTCACGAGCGTTCGCCGAACGCAACGAGACGGCGGAATAAGGGCCATTGTCGCCGTGTATGTAATACGAACCTTGGTACCCATGTATCTTAAAGGTGATCGCTATACTGATACCCCCAAATCGGTATGACCAAGTCGGTAAATTCAAAACATAATATATACGACGCGATGGTTTCACGAGCGTTCGCTGTTGTCGACGTAATTAAAACCACGCTTCACATACGGTTTAAAAGCGTTTTATTAAATTTATAAATTCTAAAGATATGGCAGAACGATCAGTATGACATAGGTTGTGCTAGAATAGGGTTAGACAAACTTTTTCTTATCGTCCCAATATTAACTATTAAAATCTAAAGTTTTTGGTCAGGCCACTTATTATTTTCATATTGAAATCGATCCAATTTCTAGCAATTAAACAAAGATATTTATTTCTATTTAAACGATATTATCGCACTTTTGATTCTCTGTCAATACGCTTTATACAAACAAAGACATTTTTATTCTTCAGGTAACACATATCACTAACTTTAGCTACTATTAGTCGGGGGATAAAATGACTCAGTATTGAAAATCCAAAAAAAAACAAGAGAAAGCAACAAACCTGTGCAGTGCAAGCTTGCGCGAACATATTCAGATTAATATCACTTATTTTAGCTACTATTAATCGGGGGATAAAATGACACAATATAGACAATTTAAAAAAGTTCATAGGGAAAGCAACAAACCTGTGCAGTGCAATCTTGCGCGAACATATTCAGAGTAATATCACTAACTTTAGCTACTATTAATCGGGGGATAAAATGGCACAATATAGACAATTGAATAAAGTTCATAGGAGAAAGCAACAAACCTGTGCAGTGCAAGCCTGCGCGAACATATTCAGATTAATATCACTAACTTTAGCTACTATTAATCGGGGGATATAATGACACAATATAGACAATTTAAAAAAGTTCATAGGAGAAAGCAACAAACCTGTGCACTGCAAGCTTGCGCGAACATATTCAGAGTAATATCACTAACATTAGCTACTATTAATCGGGAGATAAAATGGCACAATATATTGTGTCTATAGACAATTAAAAAAAGTTCATAGGAGAAAACCACAAACCTGTGCAGTACAAGCTTGCGCGAACATATTCAGAGTATTCGTGACGTGCAAAGTTTCCACTCCGCCCGCCAATGCACATATCGCCTTAACAGCCTGGAAAACAGCCTTCGGGGAACAACTGCCTTCAGCGCCGGTCACGCCTATCGCCCGGGAAAACTCGCCTTCCAATGTTTCTGTATCGACAGACGGTTATCAGTCATTTTATTAATCATTTTTAGGGTTCTGTACCTCAAAAGGAAAAACTGAGAATCTTGAAATTTGGTACGAAGTAACGTCGTATAGTACCAATAAAGGAAAAATTGCGAAAACAAAAATTAAAAAAATAAAAAGAAAAATTTTTTTTTTCATCATCAGCCTACAGCGGAGTCAAAGGCATTATTCCCTATGGATGGAATAGGGAGATTGGGCCATGACCCACCACGGTCCAGTGCAGATTATCCACCAATCCGACTGCAAATGCAGCCGGAACCAACGGCTCTTAACGTGCCTTCCGAAGCACGGTGGAGCACGAGATAGTAATTTTGGTCACCAGTTGTAGTGTTTGTTTTTAAACAGGGCGTGACACTGACACACGTAGGACAGCTGTTTTGTCTGATGATAGCGAACCGCTTACGTCGGCGTAGCTGTCAAACTTGATTGATTGTGTTGGTAGCATTGAGGGAATAGTTGCTTTTTTTCATTCGACTCAAAAAATCGACTTGACACTTATATAAAAAAAAAAGAAAAGAAGGCAGTGAATCTCTGTTGGTGCGTGTGGATGAGTGGATGGAGTTTGACAGTTGTTGAATTTTGAATTATTTTCCCATATCGATTTGAGTTCTCAATCGGGCGTTGTTTTTTACTCGATTTTGAATTTTACTCGAAATTGAATTTCCTCGCTGATTGAGGTATGTATTCTCTTTTCCTCCGCTTACGGCGAGCATAGTGGGGCCGTTCATAAAATACGTTCCCATACAAGGGGGGGGGGGGGGGGGGTCTTGCTAAGTGTGACAAGATGTGACAAGGGGGGACGGGGGGGTCTACGGCAACGTGACGTTCGTCGTTCATTAATTTTTTTTAAATTAGTATTTCTTTCAACTATTTTTCTTAAAGAAATTTGAAATTAACATCCAAAACGGAAAAGAAAAGATGAAGTAGTTCGACGTATACAACCAACTCGCATCGCAGCTCGACGAGCTCGAGAGCTGTTATGCATATTAGGAGATGAAAAAGCTGGTACAGAAAATGCAGAATGGATAGATGACGATGAAAGACGTGGACGGTAGTTTTGAAAATGAAGAAGAAGATGTTGCAATACCGATTATAGATATTTCAGCGCATTTACAGAATCCTTGGACTTGTGATTAATAGAAATATGATTTATTTATTTGTTATGAAAAGATATTTATTTATATATTTAAATTTTATTATAAAAACTAAATAAATATTTAAATTCTTAAAATTTGTGTACTATCAATTGGGGGACACAGCGTGACAATAGGGGGGTCGGAAAAAGCTGATTTTAGCGTGACGTATTTTATGAACGGCCCCATAAATGGGTTTGAGTTTATTCGTGAATGCAGCGGCTGTCTGTTTGACTGTGACCTTTGCCTTCAGTTGGAGAGAAAAAAATCATAGACACATATTTGGGAGTTGATAGTCTTTTCTCTATGCTCAGTTGTCAAAACAACATTTTACAATCTGTTTTCTGAAAATTTTACGTTCAGTTTCGTATTCTGCCCAAAGTATATTAAAAGAAGGACACTCCGGGCTCCGGAGACGGTGAAGTAGATCCGAAAAGTTTATATCCTGGAGTATATTGGCGGAAATAGCGCGGAGACGCTAACCGAACTGTAATTCGGGGTGATAAAGCCTCGCAAGGTAGATGGTCCCGGAATCTTGCAAGGCAGGGCAGTATCTTGTGATAGGGGGAACAAAGTAACGGATAGTTTTACATCTCGGACGGCTTATACGTTCTCCTCAGGAAGTACTGGAGGAAGAAAAGCTAATAACAAGGAAAATTCTCTCTCTGTACACGGACCAGAGGGGATGCGTGAGATTATTACAATAAAGGTTGCAAGCCTCTCTCCAGTCTCATGTAACCCGGCCGTAACTGCGGACAGATCATACACTGCTAAACCTATCCTAAACAAGGTATTTCTCTAACTAACCCTGGGTGAGCGTGGCGCAGGTACCAAAAGGCGAGGTTGGACCCCGACCTACCCATTTCTATATATATCTATATAACTGCTTGTCTCACTGAGAACTAGAATTAACCTAGTATATATCATCACCAATATCGATCAAACGAGCCGTAGAACCTCTGAAATCCACTAAATAGTTTATTATCTGGAAAAGTGTAGTGTTGTGGTCTCTCAATAGGCTAATTGCCTATATTTTAAAAAGTAGTTAAAAATATACCTTGATGTTTATTTAACCCCAAAAAAATATTATTGAAGTTATACTTCTTTAGGCGCGTTATGAAAAAATGATGAGAGTGAAATTTTTAGATGCGCGCGCATCACTGTAACCCAAAAGTAACAGCATGAAGTTGGCCGCGGGCGCGTTATGAAAAAATCATGTGAGTGAAATTTCGAGATGCGCGCGCATCACTGTAACACAATAGTAACACCATGAAGTTGGCCGCGGGCGCGTTATGAATGTTAGTGTCTAATAATGGTGGATTATTAACGACTTAGTGGTTAATAATCCACCATTATTAGACATCTATTCGAAAGGTACTTTGAACGATCCACGGAGCTCCATAAGATGATCGCGTTGTCAAAAACAATGTTGGCACGCTCGTCGCCTCTGATCACTGTTTTCATATTTATAATATTTATCCACATGTTTCTAGTTTCTATATAGACACAACGTGTTTTAGTTACTTACAAGTGCTAATTACATATGGACTAATAACTTAAATTCAGTAGTGATTTTAATTGAATATTTTGAATATTTATTTAATTTTTCAAATTAAAACTAAACTTAATTGACTGTGTTAACTATCCTTTTCCAGTCCTTTTATTATTTTATTGTAATTATTAATTATTTGCATGCAATTAAAAAATATTTTTAATGACGCTAAAGAAGTATAACTTCTCACGTGCGTACATAAGTTACACGCATCCATTTTTTTTTTAAATAAAAAAGTACATTAGCAATATGTATTTTGTATTTCAAAAAACTTATTCAAATTTCCCTCGAAAACGCTCTAGACTGTCATGGCGTCTTGAATGATGTCACGCCGTGCAAAGCAAACAATACGCTGTACGCCGACTGTTAAAATTATTTAGTTAAAGTTGAATCCATCGTATTACAAATACTGTATAGTTTCCTAGTGTAAAAGGACAAGCATAAAACACCAGGCAAATTATTTATATGCCGTAAATGCGGAAAAAATGGTTAGAACTTGCAAGGAGGGATGGTACCTATTCATTGTTTATCAACAAATACAAGAATAATTTTGTGATGAACATTTTGATGTTAGTATTTTGCAAACCATAATCTATGAAATCAACATTTTATACAAGCCGGATAAATTATATTGCGTTATATTGATAAAACAATAACAATAGGTTGAGGTTAGGTAAGTTGATTTAGTTTTATGGTATGATTTAGAGTATTTGAGAGTTCAGTATATTTATTCATAACTAGCAAACCAGTGAACCAAATGTTCACCAAAAAAAAAATGTATTTAATTAATTGAGAACTTCGGAGATTTTGTGTGGTTTCGTTTGAAATAGAAATCACGTGATTTCTCGAAAACCGGAAGTGCTACGTTACTCACATCCGGTTTGTAGTCTTATCAGACTATTCTTAACTTATAACGTAAACATTCTCTATATCTATCTCTTAAGGTTTGGCCGCTGAAACAGCACCACGGACGGACGGACGGACGGACGGACTTGTCTAATAGATAAGAGATGATAAACACTTCTTATTCTTGTTCAAGTTGCCAAATGATATGCTTAATTATGTCGAGTAGTTATGCAATTATTTTTTTATTTTGGTTAAAATATTATTATTTGCTTCCGTAAATCCCATTTCCATGGATATATTAGGCTTCCTTTCAATAATTATCTGAAAATAAACTGATAAATTGTATCAAAGTAACAATAACATGAATGAGAAATCAATGAAATGTATGAAAACGGCTACCACAAGTAATGTTTTGCACATGGTGACGTCAGTCTTTCTGATTGGTGTTTGCCGTCACGTGATCTAATGCCTATTTTAATCGAATTTATTTTCTAAAAATAATAATAATCTTTAATTATTATGATAAATAGCTTTATTTTTTGTTATCTCTATAATATCATAATTCATATTTAGAAACTGTAACCCATTCGATTTATTGTTAGTTGACACAAGCCTATTGACAGTCCATTGCAGAGTAGGTAAAATATATTAGATATAGTTTAAGAACTCATGTAAGTACATTGTAGATTGTTATGAATGTCTAATATTTATATAATTCTAAAATTCATGTCAACTTAAGGTTTTGCTCACTGAGAGGGAAGTGATTTATATAAACTCTAACTTTAAAACTACTGTATTCAGCTTCGTTATGATATTTATAGTTAGTAAAATATAGTTATAACATTTCATGTCAACTTGGTGATTTATATAAACTATAACTTAAAACTATTGTATTCATCTTCTTTAGGATCTATAGTTAGTAAAATATAATTATAACATTCTCATAATTCCTTGGTTTTCTTTCATTGCTTCCCCTGCGCTCTGAGGTAGATTGTAGAGGGCAGTGGAGGAAAATATAACATCACACCGTCCAAAGCCCGACCACTGCGAAAGTTGCTTAACTTCAACGATTGCAGCCGAACGCGGTTACCACTTGCGCCATCGAGCTTTTTATTATGCTCACATAAAATACAAAATAAGATTAATATTGTTGTAACAAATCCACCGGAGAACAACTGCCTTCGGTTACGTCTTTCGGCCGGAAAAACTCGCCTTCCAACGTTTCTGTATTGACAGACGGTTATCAGTCTTATAATATCGCGATATAGTTCAAATCTGTCTTTCATACATTATACTAACATAAAAATAACAAAATAAGATTGATATCATTGTGGTTCAGTGATTTTACGTTTTTGTTGATATTATTAATACTTTTGCTTTGTCGCTAACTAGTGTTGCCCAAATTCAGTCTTGGTCTTGTTCTTGTATTTTTGCAAGACCAAGACCAAGACTGACCGTGCAAGACTTGAGCAAGAACAAGACTAATCCGGCAAGACTCTTGCGTCTTGCAGCTAGGACTTAGCGCTATTTCACGGAGTAGTTAGGTATAACAGTTCGGTGTATAGGTACGCTTAGGAATTCTATGAGACGCAAAAATCTGTATCAAATAATATGAAAAACTGAACCTATGCGCATTACGACCAATACCATAAACATACATAGCGAATAAAAAAATATCCATTAAAATCAAACAGAGTGCATGCATAGCTTTGTTTTAACCATCGGCACTTTGATAATGCGGCATCAAAGGTTTTGTACTGACTTCGCAAAGAACTTTGGCGCTTTTCGGAAGTACATGGTGATGATACACGCGCCGGCGGCTTCTATTGAAATCACATACAACAATCGTTGCCGCCGCGCCGAAATCACAACATTTGACACTATTTGATTGCCGCCACAGGGCCTAGGTATACTCATGCAAAATTCTAATTTCGTGGCGTGCCGTCCCACTCACGCTGATACTATTTAATGTATGAGCGAGCGAGACGGTACGACACGAACTTCGATTTTCGAATTTTAGAGTACAGGTGTTCCAAAGAATAAATAAGTTTTAGCGTGCTTAGAATGGAAACGAATACATTATATTGATCACGCAAGTAGTATTATGATTAGATAATGGTAAGGATAGGTAGTAGATGTCATAATAATTTATTCTAGTAAGCATATATTATAATATTGATTATATGGGTTTAAACTAATTACTTAGGTACTATTATTGTACATTTAGTCAAAATATTTCTTAAATTTCTTAAGTTTTTACAAGAAAAAAATAGCAAAAAAGTGGTCAAATATCACCCGTTTGATAAATATTGTAGCCACTTTTGAATATACTTGAAACTTGTAAAAAAATTCAAAATCTTCAGACATTTATTAATCTGACTGGTCTTTTCTATGGCTATATTAATTCAAGCTCACAATGTTCCAATTCTAATACGTTTTTCTAAGATCTAAAGTAAACTTTAATAAATAGCAATAGTCTAATAGGTAATTGCAAGACTTGCAAGACTCTTGCTGCAAGACCAAGACCAACACTGGGAGCGCAAGACCAAGACCAAGACTGGCTAAGTCTCGTCTTGATCTTGCATTTGAGCAACACTATCGCTAACAGTAGATACAGCTAAATACAAATGAATGCTAATATACTTCTGCAATATCTATTAATAACAAAGAGATTTGATTAATTTTAAACTTAATATTAACCCAAATTGTTGTTCAAAATATAAATGAAGTTGTACCACGCTGTACTCAGGCGTTTTTGTTCAAAATATAAATGAAGTTGTACCACGCTGTACCCCAGCGTTTCTTATCACAACCAGGTGCATTATTCTAAAATATGACTCCAAGGGGACTTTTTTATGTTTAAAAGGCTAGGCGTTTGACCACAATCTCGCCTGATGGAAAGCGATGATGAGGCCTAGGATGGAACACGCCTGCCTAGAAAATTTCTGTTGGTGATGACTGACTTGGTTAACAAATAAAATCGGTTTAAAAATAGAAATGGGGGGGGGGGGGCAGATGGAGGCAAAACAATTAATCCAATTAATCAGGTTCAAAGCTAATACTTACCCAATAGTATAGACAAGTTATCGAACGACAGCATAGGCGTGGCTCCCTGCGATGGCAACAAATCGTCCAGAGTGAGATGGGAGTCTCTAGCGTCGTCCCTTTCTGTTCGAGCTAAGGCGACGTCTCTGCCTTCGTGGAGACAAAGCCTTACGTCTTTTTCTAAGCGTACACATTCCCGTACATAATCGTATTCACTGAGCGAACTACCGGGCGTGAGATATTCTTTCGCTCCCCAAACCTTCAAATGAGTAAAAAATATACATGAGGATTGTATTACTTTATCTCTCTTTTTAAAGCGCGTATTCCACCTGACTAAATTCAAACGTTCTAAATCATTGTGCAACTAATTCAGTCAAGTGAAATAGCATTTAGAAAGTTAGGATGCTATAGCATCCTGAATTGGAAGAAGTGTGGCTTCTAACTGACTAAATCATCTAATTAGAAAGTGATTTAGGAACGTGTGATAAGATTCAGATGTTTCAGTTGCACAACAGGCGTCACTGCGTGAGGACGTTATTGTGTCTACGATTACGAATTAGGCGAGTATGCGATGTCGGCGGCAAAAAGCAAAAAAAAAAAAAAAAAGAAGTTATGAGTAACATAATCGAATTGTATAAAGATATACCGTATCTTTGGGATAAAAACGATAAAAAATACATTAATAATATTAATATTCTTTCATCCACGTTTTTCGTTATTACTTTCATTTATTTTTATTGAGTCAACGACCAGTGGGCCAATCGCCTAACCAGATTGCTTTGGAAACGCTATCGCTTACGATTTCATTTTGTTATTTCTAACCGCCGAAATACCTCACGCTCATTTTCTTTAACATTGTTATTACCAATGCAAAAGAAAAAAAAGAGCGCGAGGCATTTGAAAACCTCAGGGGGCTAGAAATAACAAAATGAAATCGTAAGCGATAGCGTTTTCCAAAGCAATCCAGTTAGGCGATTGGCCCCCAGGCCTATGAGAAGACCGATTTTTTGTTGCTTTAACAGGACTGGAGTCATTACGAAAAAGTTCGACTGAATTCGCCACTCGCTTGCAACTGACTCATCAGTAGCTGATAGTAGGAGAGCTAGCGACGTCACGAAAAAGTTCATTTTAGGTCGGCTAATTTTTGTATAATTCCCATTCTTATTGACAGTAGGTTGGGATGCGGTACGTCTGGCACCTGGAAGCGGTTGCGTTCAGTTGCGCGCATCCCACCTGTACAGGTAAATATTGTGCATTTTGAAATCATTTTAAGACAATTTTTTTTTTAGAAATTTTATGTGTCTCGTTAGCAATATAAATTTATAATTGCCAGACATTTTTGTAGTTGCTAACCTTGCCCCAGACACAATTTCAAAAATTAAAAAGTAATTATTTTTAAACAATTTTAGTATGTCTGTAACTTTGATATAAGTAGTAGGTAGTTCAGCAATAAAAAAATATGAGAAAAATTTGCCAGACAGAAATTCCGTCACTTAATAAGAATTCAAGTCAATTTAAGTTTCGGAGAGAATAGGTTAATTATAAGAGTGCGGCGCTCAGAGGGGGTAGAATTGGTATCCCTTGTGGATTTTTTTTACCGAAATTTCTCAAAAATTCTCCGAATCTTCCGAATATTTCCAATTTTTTACACTTTTTGAGGCAATTGAGAGAAAAAATGGGTTATCTCCGAAAAAATGAGAATATGATTTTCTCCCGTATTTTCCGAGCTTCGATGTACTTACTACTGCAGTTATATTGAACTTTAGATTCCTTGACTATTTATCGTGCACATATTTCCAAAAATGGACAAATCATTATTGAATGATTTTGCTTGAAAAATATTACTATTATGACGAAAATTTTATTTAGTTCACGACAAGCAATGGATTGCACCAATGGATTCGGAGAAATCTCCAGCAGTAAAAAAATATGATATTCTTCAGAAAATTTTGGAATGATTTATAAATTATTTTGATAAATTATGAGTTTCTCAAAAAGCGTAATGAATATGTAAAAAAGGTTTTTTTTAAGCATTTTGAATAATTTTGTAAAAGTTTCGGAGGAAGTTTTCCACTAGATATGTGATAAATGTCGAAACAAAAAAATATTTCTATGTATATAGGTTAGAACTTCTACACTAATTGAATGGAATAATAAATAAACTAAAATGAGAAAGCAAAAATTGATAAAACATATTATCAGAAAAATAATAATTTTTTTATTGTAAATAACTGAGAATTGGGAAGGATATACAAATTAAAAAAACATTAAATACATTAAAGATGAGTAATTATTATTATTATTTTTAATTAATAATTTCTTGACATCCAAATTCTTCGGCGTCAAGATCATCTTCGTCACTGCTATTGTTGTCATCAATATTCTGACTGTGATAAGCTAGTACAAGATGTACTAGGAACATCAGTAATCGATGAAAACTTAGATACACATTCATTACGATATTTAGACATCAATGATGTAAAAGTACTATAACAATGTCTATGGTATCCAACAGTAGCATTCACATTGTCCGGTAACTTCACATTTTTATATTTTAGGTTGAACTTAATACAAGCATTTAAAATTTCTGCACACTTTTTCAATTTTTTTTCGTTAAATATTATTATTTTACCAAGTGGTAAAATTAAGACCAAAGTTGGTCTGAGCAAAAAACATATTTTTCTTTTTCGTTAGCCATGACGAAAAAATTAAATTTTTCTATTAAAAAACACGAGACAACAAAATACAAGCGTTTACACTCGTGCAGGCGACGCCATGTTGAAAATAGCAGCTGTGGCTATACTTCTCTTCCTCTACCGCTCTCTGTCGCAGCTATCTCTCTCACACAACCGAAGAATTAGTTTCCGCACTCTTCTAACTCACCTATTCTCCCCGAAACTTAAATTAATTTAAATTCTCATTAAGCAACAGAATTTCTGTCTGGTAAATTTTTATCATATTTCTTTATTGCTGAACTACATTATATCAAAATAACAGACATAGTAAAATTGTTTAAAAATTTTTTTTTTTTAATTATTGAAATTGTGTCTGGGGCAATGTTCGCAACGACAAAAGTGTCTGGCAATTATGGTTTTATATTGCTAACGAGACACATAAAATTTCTAAAAAAAAAATTGTCTTAAAATGATTTCAAAATGCACAATTTTTACCTGTACAGGTGGGATGCGCGCAACTGAACGCAACCGCTTCCAGGTGCCAGACGTACCGCATCCCAACCTAGTGTCAATAAGAATGGGAATTATACAAAAATTAGCCGACCTAAAATTCATTCTCGAAAACGTTGCCAGCTCTTATACTATGAATTAGTCAAGTGTAATCAGAAGCTTCTAATTAGCTTTCTTTTTTGGATCCTAACTAGGACGTCTGAATATAGTCAGGTGGAATACGCGCTTAAATAAGCTGTATAGTTTAAGAATCTTGCAACGAAAGGAAACAGTGACTCTTTTACTGTTTGCCTTATAACTAAAACTAGTCTACACACCAAGGCTAAGCGAGATCGGACTCAGGGCGCGTGTCTAGCAGTAACATCATAAAACATGAAAGAACTCTTTATGTCTGTGGGTGTCTGTCTGTTACGTTTATACGCCTAAGCCGCTGAACTGATGAATGATGAACTTTGATATAAAGGTAAACGAGACCTCAGACAGGATTTTGTCACGAAAATAAACATAAGAGGGAGAAAAATAGGGTATTGAAGTTTGTACAGAACTCATCAGATTAAAATTATTTATATCCCAAAAATAACGATTGTTATGCAATTTAACCAAATAGCTGGTTCAAAAGTGTTTTTGTGATGATTTCCTAAGTACTATTGTGAAGCAGACTACTTACCCTCAACATATAGCCGGACATATCGTCTCTTATGTCTTCGTCGAGAGAACAAACTACAGTTAATATCACATGTTCCACTGTCGACTCCACTGAAATAAAAAATACATTTTAGTTAAATTTTAACTGCTGCCCCACTGAAATAAAAATTAGAATTAATTTTCTTTCCTTATAAACATCATTTTACAGACACGAATTGTACCAAGATCAGAAAAAATGCATGAGATATAACGAATAAGGTAAAAGTTAATACAGCCAAGTAGCTTTTTGTTTATAATGAAGAAAAAAGTTGCAGTAAAAACGTAATCTTATCTACTTGTCCTATAAAATTCGTCCTCCTAAGGCTAAGCCTATAATTATTCTTCAGCGTAATTTTAGTGGCATGAATCGTGAAGCGTTTCTTCTAGACGCTACTGATATTGATTGGTTGCCTGTATTTTATGCAGCAACTGTGGATGAGCAGGTGGCTAATTTTAATACATTGGTCATAAAATTATATGACAAGCATGCACCTTTTCGACCCGTTAAATTAAAGCATATTCCTGCACCCTGGCTAACGGATGATATAAAATTATTAATGCACAAAAAAGCTTCTACTAAAAGTAGGTATAAATGTCGGCCAAGTGATCATAACAAAGAAACTTATATCAAAATTCGTAATCGCTGCAATAAGGTGTGTAGGGATGCATTACGTCGTCACATTCCCAATTCTGTCAGTATTGAAGACTTTCCAAAAGTCTGGAAATTTCTAAGATCGCTCGGTATTGGATAATCTAGGGAGGATTCTGGTGCTCCTAATATTAACTTAGATTCTCTAAATACTCATTTCACTTCTTCTACTGGTATAAATACTGCTGTTAAAATTAACACTCTTAGTCAACTTTCAACCAAACCAATACCGGACTTCTCTCCCTTTGTTTTTTGTTCAATTAACGATTGAACAAAAAACAAGATGCCCAGATTGTTCCGTTGCCTAAAGTACGTAACCCGAAAGTCCTCTCCGAATATCGTCCTATGTCCATTCTTCCCTTTTTATCCAAAGTGCTTAAACGTCTCCTTCACAAACAAATTAATAATTTCCTTACACGCCATAATCTCCTAAATCCACTTCAATCGGGCTTTTGTCCTGGCCATAGCACTGTCACTGCCTTGGTCAAGGTTACTGATGACAACCGACTTGGCATGGAAAACAGTCGCCTAACTGTGCTAACATCGTAACTATCTCTAATCCCTGTTCTTTCTGTATGGTATGACCTAATCGGACTCCCATGATTGCTGCCTGCAGCTCAAACTTAGGGATCGTCACAGATTTTCAAGGTGCCACTCGACTCTTACCTGCCACTAAAGCTACCTCGGCGGTGATGCTTTTTAGATGAGCGACTGCGGCGTAAGCTTGCTCTGATGCGTCAACATAAACATGTAAATCGAACTTGGTAATTTTTGTGAAACTGTAGCATCTTGGTATAGAGTGTCTTGCATGTTTCAAGTTTCCGAATCCATTGAAGCCAAACCCGGAATATCTTCTTACTGACTTGCTCGTCCCATTGTATAGCAGACCTCCAAACTTCTTGTAACAAAATTTTGCCATTGATCAAAAATGGACTGAGCATACCGAGGGGATCAAAAACAGACATGATGACCTTTAACATCTCCCTCTTCGTTGGTCTCCTCAATCCTTCCAAAATCTGTACATCAACCTTCTTCAAACTGCTATCAAAACCCAAGGTGTCTAGAGTTGGTTTCCAATTGAGACCTAGAGGCCTCTGAACTTCGTCATCTGAATAAACTAACAGATTCTCAGCTGCCTCATCTCCCCCTCGTCATCAAGAGAGTCGAGGTAGTCAACCACCTAATGTCTCCGTTTAATGGCTTCAACTGCTCTTGGATGTGACAAAGCGTAGTTACGTCGGATTATATAAGTTGCGGTGCACGGAGATGATGTGGCTCCGAAAGTCATCGAAGTCATCTTATAAATCTCTGGCGGCTTTTTACGCTCCTCTCCTCTCCAAAGAAAGCATTGTGCATTCTGGTCTTCCTCGTTAATTTTCACCTGCAAGAACATCTCTCTGATATCTGCGGTAACTGCGATTTTCCGCTCTCTGTATCGCATTAACACTCCAAGGAGAGAGTTCAGTAGATCAGGACCAGTTAGTAATTCACTGTTGAGACAAACCCCTCTAGTCTCAGCCTTTGCATCGAATACCAGTCTTAGCTTCCCAGGCTTATTAGGGTTTCGGACGCCAAAATGTGGCAGATACCAGACTCGCCTAGTCGGTGGTTCGGTAGTTTTTCTCGCGTAGCCTTTCTCCAGCATGTTGTTGAGTTGCTTCCAATAATCCGCTGCAAAACTCTGGTCAGAATCCATCATCTTTTCAATGAGATGTTCAGCATTTTCCTTGTTATCAGGAAGTTTGACATCATCATCTCTCCAGAGCAAAGCCGACTCCCAATGCCCACCAACTTTTCTGGACTTATTATCGAGGATGTGTAAAGCTCTCCGTTCTCCTGGAGAATATCTTGACCTCTCCAAATTCCTGATGCCGATACTGTCAAGCTGAAAATAATTCTCGATTATATGGTGACGTTCATCTTCCTCTTCAGACCAAAGGTGGTAAGCAAATTCAGGAATAATCTTTCTCGATATAGATGATGAAAAACCATGAAGAACCCAACCAAGCTTAGTATGTGAGGCGACAGTTACATTTCTCCTACCCTCTCTAATATGCCAGTAGTCTTGACCAATGACAATTGTTGGTCGACCTTCAAATGCTGTCAATGGGAGGCTCTTGAGGTGGTGGTATCGTAAGATCGTCGCTTGGTCGAGAGAATTTTTCGGAAGAGTCAGATCGTCTACAGTACGAACTTTATCTAATCGGTGTGACCCTTCATCAGTTGTAATCGTCAGGGATATCATTTGGCCATTTGTCTTTATCCCACTCCCAACCGTGCCTTGAAGAGACATTTCGATCTTTGGACCTCTGGCTCCAACAGACTTAGCAATTCGGCCTTCAACCAGAGAAACTGTAGAACCTTCATCAAGCAAGGCAAAAGTATCGACGCTACCTTCAGGCCCCTCAATCGTTCCAGGCAGCACCTTCAAAAACACCCGCTTGCTACCAGCTGACTAGATGTGGGCTGTGGTCTCAGGATCGTTCTACTCCCTTGTCGTCGAGTTCGTCCAATCGTCGCGATGCAGTAATTTATGGTGATTACCCTTGACTGATTACGTGACAGGTTGAGCACTTGATCTTCGATTTGCATCTGTCGCGACGATGAGTGGCTTTCAGGCATCTGAAGCATAGTCGGCGCTTGCAGATCCACTCCCAGCGTCGGTTGACGTCTTCACCTCTGAATTTGTTACAAGCGCTAATCTGATGGCTTGTATCATTGCAGAAGACACACTGTGATGGTATCTGATTTTCTTTGACGGTAGCCAGGACAGTCTCATCGGGTATTTTCTCCTCAGAATCAATCATCAAAACTGGTCGTCGAAATGAAGAAGTCTTTGTCGTCTTGATTGATGGTAGTTCAACGGCTCCCGTTCTACATACTTCATGAGCCTCAGTAATTAGGTATTTCGCCAAAACAGATAGTTGGGGTTGGTCAGCAGTCAAACCTCGGCTGTAATCAAGCCATCGGTAGAAAATAGGCTCCGTCAGTTTGCTGATAATCTCAGCTCAAATCTGGACTATATAGATATCCAATGTGACCAGTGGATTCTATGGCAGCAACGCAATTATCAACTCTAGTCGCTAGAATTACTAATTCCGATCGAGCTCCAGAAAGTTTCGGCACTCTTTTCATCTCGGCTATGAGCTTGGCTAGTATCAGGTCTGATCTCCCGAATCTCATCTCTAGTGTCTTCATGACCTCTGTTGCAGATGTTGTGGCAAGAAGTCTGGCTGAGACCGCTTCGTAAGCTTCACCGTGAAGACATCGCTGGAGGCGTGACAGATTCTCTTCCTCGGTGTACTGACCTATTCTGCTAGTCGTTTGGAAAGCGTTTTTAAACCGTAGCCAGTCAATCGGATCGCCCGAGAAAGATGGTAGATCTCTTGCGGATAGTCTTCCTAGCAGCTTCTCGGTTACGCTAGATTTTGAAGTACTCACAGACTTGAAGGCTTCCGTGATAGCGTGCTTTAAATCGTTCAAAGCAAAATCTCTTATTTCGGTAGTTTGCGTCTGAAATTTGACATTAACACATTCATTTGTTTGTTCGGTGTCAAGAAAATTATTTTGCGTTTTCGATAAATTTTCTACCCATTCACGTGTCCTTCTAGATCTATTATAGCTAGCCTGACTACTCTCTAATGTTGCAAGCTCTTCATGCAACCGTGCATCGACCAAAGACTTCTCTGCCGCTAATTTCTGTTTCCCTAATTCTATATTTCTTTGCTCAATTTCTAGTAACTGTTTCTCTTATTCAGCTCGCCGTGTTCTAGCTTGTGCCCTAATAGTCGCTTCTGAGAAGCAACACTATTCCTGCTACGACAAGAGTGAGCTGAAGTTATTGACGTCATGCTACCACTATTGATGCGACTAATGTTAGCGTTACCGGTTTTCGTCTGCGAAGTGTGGCTAGTGGTCGCCTCCGTGGTGGTAATCGCTCCCCCGGTGGTAATCCTTTCCATCGCTTCACACGAAATAGTCGTCTCCGGTTTCATCATTTTCGCTTCACTATTCTGTCACTACGTCGCATTCCCAATCAATACTGATAGTCACTGGCCTCAAGAATTACTTTATCCGGCTCGAAGGACCACTTTATTGCAAGCAGTTAAATTAAATAAATAATAAAACTGATAATCGATGTTAAAAGTAAAATTTGTATTCACAAGATCCATTGAAAACGTCAAAATATATCAAAAGCAAAGTTTACTAGAAAAAAATCCACGCGGACCAGGCAGCGGACGGGACTCGAACCCGCATCCTTCGCTATCCGGGCGAATGCACTGACCATTATGCTACCACGGCCCTATTAGCCACGTCAAAATTTTCCTAGCCTTAAGCTGCAAGGCAGCGCCATCTGTTCGCATTGTAGGTAACCCACAATGTCAAATGAATACTTTTTCAAGTATTAAACATTTGAAAGAAG